AAGTTAATAAACATTTTGCCTTATGGATAAAATTTTCACTTCGATGTTCACTAACTTTCAATGTTATATTTTTTTAAATAATAAGTACCCTAAAAACTATGTTTCCAACTTCTAGCTTTAAAAATGAGGACTTCCATACAACCTTTCATCTTGCCATTCAACCCCTTTTTTCGCATTAAAAAGTAGCCTATGTTTAGATTAGTGTTTCCCAAATCCTTTACTGCGATGCCCCACTTTAGCCTTTCTAAAATTCATATGCCCCTCTAATTATAAATTATGTATGTTCATGTTAATGTTAATTAAAAATTTAAATTCCATATAATTTTAATAAAAATCAATTTTCGAATTGCCCCCCCCCCCTCTTAACAAACAAATTGCCCCCTATGGGGCGTGGGCCCCACACTGATTTAGACTATCTGTGTACCAAATTTCATTTAAATCGATTCTGTAGTTTCGAAAGCGCGACAGACAGACAGAGTTACTTCCGCATTTAAAATATTACTACCTACTCTCCCCTGCTTCGCACGGGTGTACATGTATGATACATATAAACCTTCCTCTTGAATCACTTTATCTATTAAAAAAAACCGATTCAAAATCCGTTGCGTAGTTTTAAAGATTTAACCATACATAGAGACGGATAGGCAGCGACAGCGACTTTATTTTATACTATGTAATGATTTAGGATTATCTACCTGTAGTATCGTATGTGAAGTTAGATTAAAAGCTAGAGTAAGGAGGAACCTTACTCTCCGATTTGTATAGAGGGCGCGTTATCTTCGCACGAGCGCTCAAAAAGCCGGCCGCCAACCAAACAAACGCCATTCGCTGACCCACGTATGGTCCATCCAAACAATACAATACAATACAATATCCTAACTATTATTTTACAATTGGATACGGTATATATTAAGGCCATCCTAATAATATTTTACAGCATCCAAACAATACAATACTGTGATGTCAGGAGCGGTGGTGAGAGTAAACACACGCAGTAGGGTGTAACTTGTATACTAACTGTTACATAGTTAATTTTAAGCTTTCGTGTTTAATATACATTATTTAAATTATTAACCGGGTCTTAACACGAACTAATTTTGGCAAATAAAGGTATTTACCTCTCTGTACGTTTCGACTAGGTTGCACTAGCCGTGGTCACGAGCTGACTGGAGTAACAGCGATGTCAATGTAGATAGGTGGCAGCAGTTTTTTCTTCATCTACCGTCACTAGATTGTTTAACGAAAGTTCGCGACACACAGGAGGTAAATACCTTTATTTGCCATAAAATTATTCGTGTTAAGACCCGGTTAATAATTTAAATAACTGTTACATCTTGAATTACTCTACCTTACACTAATTACATAAACTATATATATGAGCAACTGCGTGACATACGTGTCGTTAGATAAAACGCATACTGCCACAATCTTCTATTGAACGTGTTGATTTCCACGTACTATAATCACAATACAATATTATAGCTATTATTTTAAAATTGGATACCGTATATGTTAAGGTCTTACTAATGATATAACCGCGAAAGTATGTAAGTATGGAGACGAATAATTTGGAATAAAATAATATTGCGACCATACGCAATATTATTTTATTCCAAAATTATTTGTCTAGTCTGCTAGTAGTTTATACAGAAGAGTGTAAAATATGTAAGCGTTACTAATAAACCGTGTAGCTCACTGCCAATAAACTTAATAATGTACAATAAATCGTGCAATCATTTTACCAGTATACTCACTACCTACATACTACAACAAATAATATATTATGTAGCGCCATCACAACATATATATCGCTACAGTGATGATGATAACCATCGCGCTACATTAGTAACAAATGTTAGTTGTAACTCCATTTATAGTATGGGTTCAGTCATTACGAGAGTGCTTTAAACAATCAAGTATCCTCACCGTTGCTTCTCAATATATTTATGAAAATATCATGTATGCCAGGAAGAATATACAATTTCAAAAGAGTTAGTGATTACACTAATAAAAGCTTACGTAACAATAACAAACTAATTTTACCTAAATGTCGTTTAATTAAAGTTAGTAATTCGTTTTATGGCAATTGCGTAAGGTTTTACAACAAAATACCAGAGTATGTTATAAATCTGCCTGAAAAAAGATTTAAATGTCATATAAAACACTTCCATTGCAAAATGGCTTACTATATATAAAATTGAAGAGTTCGTTAACGATAGTAATGTTTTTATAGAAAAACTTAAAATCCGTAGCGCGGGCAATATTATCTGATTACACTAATAATGAGTGCGTAGCGATTTCTGCATTGATTATCGCATGCCTTTTACTTGTTATACTGTAATTATTATATAAAAAATCTATTCTATTCAAAAGAACAACACACAAGTTTCTTGCTCATTCTTCTTGTGATGAATCTGCATTCCGAATGAGTGGTAGAATCAAAATATGACTATTCAAAAGTGCTTGTAATGAGTTTAACAAAATCAAACTAGATACCACATCCAACGTGTTTCCTTCGTTATTTCCCACATCACAAGTCAGTAGATAAATTAGTTGGGTGCCTACATTTCTGTATTCAATGCGGGATGTGTTGGTTTTTTCGCTCCCACAAAACTGAGCGGCCGTGCGTACTAGACGCGGAATTGTATATTTTGGTAGACCTTTTAGGACTGCTAAATGAATAAATAGCTGTGTGTATTAACCTTGACGGTGTAATGGTTAGTTTGTTGTCTAACTTTCCGATGGTGGCGGGTTCAATTCTCGCGTAATGTGATTTTTTTCAGCTTTTTCTTTTGTGTATTCTGTAGTATTTATCGATTTCTGTATCTGTGGTATGTTGTTTTAATGATGATGGAATAATAATTAGAATTAAAATACACAAAAGAGATAATATTCATATATTTTTTCTTTATAATATAATTTGGTAGTCCACACAGCGTCGAAAGACGGTGGCTACACTTGACATGCCGACATGGCAGAAAATGTAAAAATTGATTTCAATAATACAATGTATCTAATTATATCAGTTGTCTAGTATATCATAACACAAGTTCTACTTACCGTGGGACTAGATGGCGCTGTGTTAATTGTCCAGAGTTATTATTATACGTCAAACAACGTTGCGTCGTCCAGACTCTGGACTCCAGAGTGTGACAGTAGACTCGTAAATTGTTATGGTTATTGAAAAAGTAATGTTTTTGTAGATTTTTGGTGCTATAGCGAATCGATGTGGTTTGCAAAGACTCAAAAGACAAACAGCATTATCCTGACTAATATTATAAATGCAAATCTGTCTGTCTGTACCGCTTTTATGCCAAACCTACTGCACCGATTTAAATTAAATTTGGTACACATGCAGTCTAGAGCCTAAGAAAGGACAAGCACTTTCTAATGCAAAATAAGGGTTCTTGGAAGAGTAGATAAATGGCTGTATAGAAGTATGGTAATTTTTAAAGCAAGAACGTTGAACGTTTTTTGGCTATTAATTAAATATAAATAAATATGACATTCAGTTTACAATAATATCGTCCTTAAGCGGGTAAATATAACTGAAGTTGAGAAGAACTGACAAGAAACTCAGCTCGTATTTTTTTTTTAATGTTGTACGTATTTAAAAAAAAATACGAGCTGAGTTTCTTGTCAGTTCTGCTCATCTCGAAATCATTCCGAACTGACGGCAGATTTGACATAACATAAGAGTCTGTAATAGACCTACATGAATTAAGATATTTTGAATTTGAATTTGTATTTGATGAAAGTTTGTATGAAAATTCGTTATTCGATATATATACCACGCGAACCAAATCGCAAGCATAGCTAGTTATTAATAAATTTAAAATCTTTATTCATGTAGGTCTATTACAGACTCTTATGATATGTCAAATCTACCGTCAGTTCGGAATGATTTCGAGATGAGAAGAACTGACAAGAAATTCAGCTCGTATTCTTTTCAAATAAATGTTGTACATGTTTACAATAATACATTTCTTTTTTATTCATTTTTAATTCAAATTTGGGAGAATAGAGTAATAAAACAATTAACATATAAACGATTTTTATTTACAATTTCTTTTTCATATTGACTTTCTATTATTCTAAAACAATATGTATGGTGTTTTTTAAAACATGATTACACAGCTGGCAGAAATTATTTTTCCGAAAAAAAATCACAGCAAACTTTCCAAATGACTACAAATCATGTATGATTATTTGGAATATTTTTTCCTAACTGCTCTAATATTGTCAACTTTATTGAACAAAAGTCGTTACTGCAGATAGCACTCTAAACCAAAGGAAGGACTTATGGAGCGGCTGAAGGCGAACTCCCGATTGAGGGATACGACTTTAGTCTTCAGTCTGAAGGCACCTCTAAAGGTTTGACTCAGTTCACCGCCTGATGGATACAACTTTAGTGTGAAGGCACCTGTAACGGTTCGAACCTCGCCTCAGGCCGTCGTAATTTCGATGCCCGTTTGAATTGAACGGGAGATCGATCAGAGATGCTAATGGTATACGCTGGCACAGCACCAGTGGAGGATAACAGAATTGGAATGAAGTAAAGTTAATGCGCACATCGTGACAATTTCACCAAGAATCAATCATGATTGCTTCCGGAGGAAGCTGTCAGAATGTCAATCTGACCTAGTCCGCCTGACTTTTATACCTTTGTGGGGTCTAGTGAACTCCAATAGCAACAATGTATGGTACATTACCAGCATTGGGGGTCACTAGACCTGATCACAAACAATTCCGTCTCACTTCTTTACATAGTTATAAAACTCGTTTCAATATAACTACTAGTCAACATAATATTTATAATATCTAAGTCTTCAAAGTAGAACTCTTACGGGGTAGGCAGAAAGATTCGAGTGCGATCAGCTTCTAAACTCACAAACCTTGGTTGAATCACATTACATTTAATGTAAAATTTTGTCACCGCGATATAGATTTTTTTTTATAACACAGGGGACAAACGAGCATGCGGCTCACCTCAACCTCAACACCAGGGGAATTGCAAGTACGTTGTAAGCCTTTTAAAAAGGAATAAGCACTTTTCTTGAAGGTTTCAATATCGTATCGGTTCGGAAATACCATTGCTGAAAGTGATTCCACAATGTGGTTATGCAAGGCAGAAAGTTTCTAGAAAACCGCACTGTGGAAGACCGCCATTCATCCAGATGATCAGGACGGTATTTCAGTTTCTGGTGGGTGGTACTCAAACTCAGCAGCTGGTATTAATCCGAACAAAAATACACAGCACTCGTTCTCAAGTATGACGGAAGCCAGTCATCATTGCGTTGAATTATAACTAAAGTTATAAATGGGAAAATGAGTCTATTTTTGTATCTATTTTTTTCTTATGGATGAGCTAACAGTATACGCTGGCGGGGCTCCAGTGGAGGATGACAAGATGAGTATGACGTCAGGTCAGTTAGCCCATCGTGGTAAATTCACCATGAATTTCACGACGATTTAAGATGAGCATGACGTCAAGTCAGTTAGCCCATCGTGGTAAATTCCCCATGAATTTCACGACGATTTAAGATGAGCATGACGTCAGGTCAGTTAGCCCATCGTGGTAAATTCCCCATGAATTTCACGACGATTTAAGATGAGCATGACGTCAAGTCAGTTAGCCCATCCTGGTAAATTCCCCATGAATTTCACGACGGTTTAAGATGAGCATGACGTCAGGTCAGTTAGCCCATCCTGGTAAATTCCCCATGAATTTCACGACGATTTAAGATGAGCATGACGTCAAGTCAGTTAGCCCATCGTGGTAAATTCCCCATGAATTTCACGACGATTTAAGATGAGCATGACGTCAAGTCAGTTAGCCCATCCTGGTAAATTCCCCATGAATTTCACGACGATTTAAGATGAGCATGACGTCAGGTCAGTTAGCCCATCGTGGTAAATTCCCCATGAATTTCACGACGATTTAAGATGAGCATGACGTCAAGTCAGTTAGCCCATCCTGGTAAATTCCCCATGAATTTCACGACGGATTCCAGGGGAACCACGTGGAGGTCAACCTGACATGGTACATTGGTAACAATGGGGTTATTAGTCCACATTACTGACAACCCCCTTCCCCCCCTAGTACTATTGTCACAAAATAAAATGATTGATATATTATTATGTCACGGCCGCCTCAGGCTTGTGTCACTAGGAACAGAATTATTGTTTCTGTTTATATAATTGTTATTACAAGCAATGTTTTGTATATATTCATTCGAAGGTTCCACACATGCTCAAGTACAATTCGAAATTCTACAATAACACTTATTATATAATACGAGATATTTACACTGATATTATATTGACAGCGTCCTGACTTAGTGGTTAGGTCTACCAGGTAATGACTTCAAATCTGACACAAAAAATTAATTATATTTCCGACGGACTCTCCGGTACAGCAAAACCAAATGTGAATCCTAGGCAGGTTCGACCCCTGCCCCGTTGAATTCAAAGAAAAAAGTCTGTTTGTTCTTATTAATATCTGAAAACGGATAAACTGATTTTGGCGGGACTTTCACTCGCAGATAGCTAATGTTAGGAGTAACTTAGACTACTTTATTTTGGAAATTTTATTTATTCTAATAGTAATAATCTTTATTCAAATAAACTTAATATAAGCTCTTTTGAATCGTCATACTCTACCAAACTCATGACAAAAAAATAAGCATGAAACTTGCGTGTTGCTAAAATTATTAAAAAAAAGTTTAATTTCAGGCGAACAAAGTCACGTGTCACAGCCAGTAAACTAATATAGTTTCACGGTAAATATCTCATATATATAATCTATGTCGAAAATACAAGTTTTTATTGTTTATTGAGATACCCTCGCAGCATTTGAACAAATTGCTGCATGCAACCCAATATGCCCATATTCGTGGACCGCAGACCGTTGATAGCATCCGCAACGCGTTCTTCAGCAGCCGTTCGCCTCTCTTCAGCTGCGATTCGCCTCTCCTCGGTTGCGATTCGGCGCTCCTCGGCCGCGATTCGTCGTTCATCTGTCGCGATTCGCCTCTCTTCTAAATCGTACGCCCACCGCGGCAAATTGCTACTGTAATCTATATATAGGAATCGTAAATTTTATATCTCTCCGTATCGGTACTTTTTTTTTATTTCTTTTTTTTATGGCTGTGAGTTCAAAGCAGGTGTATACAAAGACTATATTAATTTATAAGTCAAAGATTTTCTGTAACTGTTCAGTGATAAAAAACAGAATTATCATTAGATTCTAATATGTTCATATAATTGTCAACTTGTCAGGTGTTGCTTTCAACTCGACATCGGCAATGTTGAAATAGCTTTGACTTCAATAATAGTCGTTATGAATGCAAAATAACAATATATAATGTTACTATCTACTCGCCCCGGCTTCGCACGGGTGTACATGTATTATATATATAACCCTCTTGAATCACTCTATCTATTTAAAAAAACGCTTCAAAATCCGTTGTGCAGTTTTAAAGATTTAAGCATACATAGAGACAGATAGACAGCAACAGTAACTTTGTTTTATACTATGTAATGATGATAATGATTTTGCCGAAAAAATTTATCGGGTGGCATGATCCAATAGACATCGATATGGAATATGTACGTATGCGCGTGCGTGCGTGCGTGCATGCGTGCGTGCGTGCTTGCGTATGCGTGTGCATATCTTTATTAAATAGTATAAAATAAAGTCTTCGTCGCCGCTACCTCTTTGCTTGTATCTTTTATATTACGCAACGGATTTTAATGCAGTTTTCAGCAATAAATACAGTTTGTTTGTTTTGTTTGTTTGTAACACTTTATTGCACAATAAATACATTTAAATTAACTAAAGATACAACGATCTTAAAATATATATATATAAGATGTACAATGGTGGACTTATCCCAAATAAGGGATTTCTTCCAGTCAACCTTTGAATGACTGAAAGGAATTGTACAGTGGTGGAACTATATATATATACATGACAATAACAACAAAGGAAAAAGAAGCAAACGCATTATATAACTATAATATATAACAACTAGAATATTAAATAAATATTTAAGTATAATATATAAATACATATTCCTACATAACAATAATAATAATAATAATCTCAGGATAATGCACATAGCGCCATCTAGACCCAAGTTAAGCTAGCTAAAGCTTGTGTTATGGGTACTAGATAACTGATACAAATACATAGATATTTCTTTTTGTAAATACATACATATTATACATATCACAAAATTAACAAAAGCACAATTGCATTCTATCAATGCAGGAAAATGCTTGGTAATAAATGGGGTGTCTCCCCGAAAATAACTCTCTGGCTATACACATCAGTAATAAGACCAATGCTGGTATATGGGGCCTTGGTTTGGTGGACAAGGTCGAAACTTACGACCACAGTCAACAAACTAAGATCTTTCCAAAGACTTGCATGCTCCTCAGTTACTGGATGTATGAAAACAACCCCAACAATGGCAATGGAAATAGCCCTTAACATTACACCCCTTGACCTATACATACAGCAAGAAGCAGCTATAGCTGCCGGAAGATTATACCATCTTGGTCTATGGGGCAAAAACCATTACAGTTCTCACACAACCATCCTGAACCAAGCAATCGAATATGAACCTTTGATTGCCGCTCCGTGTGACAGAACTCAAGCATACCACTCGTTTAACAGGAAATACCAAATACAATTGAAGGAGGAGGAAAGGGACCAATCTGCAGTAAATGAACTACGCATCTACACAGATGGCTCCAAAACACAGAACGGTTCAGGAGCTGGGGCACATTCCCTTGACCTCAACATGAACATATCTATACCGCTCGGCAAACACAGTTCGATCTTTCAGTGCGAATGTGTTGCCCTGACCGAGGCAGCAAAAGCTGTATACAGGTTAGGGGTCAACAATTTCAACATTAAATTCATATCGGACAGTGCAGCCGTGCTTAAAGCACTACAGAACAGAAAATCCAACAACAAACTAATAATCGAGTGCCACATCGCCCTGGAAAAAATTGCAACGCATAACGGAGTAATTATCCAGTGGATAAAGGGGCACAGCGGATCATATGGCAATGACGCCGCGGACGAACTAGCGAGAGTAGGATCCGGCATGGTGGTTGCAGGCCCCCTCCCGCTCATGCCAATACCATTCTCGCAATTTCGCACCTGGATTCGCCAGAGATCCACCGAAATACAAAACCACAGATGGAACCTAACCACTGATTGCAAACAATCTAAAGTGGCAATTCCAAAAACGAACCATCGGTTAACAACACGTCTACTTAATCTAGATAGACAAAACCTAAAAATAATGATAGGGACAATAACGGGCCATTGTTTCTTAAACAAACACTTATACAAAATTGATGCTACAGACAGCCCCCTCTGTCGGGGCTGCTTTGAAGCTGAAGAAACGGCGGCTCACGTAATCCTGGAGTGCACGGCAGTGGCCGAACAACGAAAACAAATCCTCGGAACGGTGAGGTCGCTCCGTGAAGCCTGCGAAGACACCAGGAGTCTTCTGCGCTTTTGGGAGGAGCTTGGCTGGCTACGTTAGTAGTCTGGCTCTACACGCACAACGGCCCGAATGTGAGGCTAATTGCGGAGAATGGAGTCTAACATACCATACCATACCATATACATAGAAAACACCCAGACCGATACAAACAATCATACTCATGAATACAAATGTTTGTGCCGTGCGAGGAATCGAACCCGCGACCATCGGTCGTAAAGCGGTGTGCTAGACCGCTAGACCACTGAGGTCGTCGAATATACATACATTTTTATATAAAATAATAATAATAATGATAAAATATAAAATGTATAAATAGTAACAGCAGAAATATATAAAAAACAATACTACTATATAAAAAAAATATGAAGAATACTAAAACAGCGCATCTGCAGTGTGACTCTAAAGTTTTTTGAGGCAGTGATTCAAGAGGAAGGTTTATATGCATAATACTTGCGTGTTACAGAACAAGCAGAGAAATTTAAGTATTTGTAAACATCTATGCGAAGCCGGGACGGGTCGCTAGTAATGATATATGTGACAGCAGTATCAAAGATTTGTTATAAACACATACGTCGTTTATGCCTGGACTTCCATACAGATTCATTTCGGGATCGTGGACGGCTACACTCGAGTGGGTCTTCTGTAAAAGGAAACAAATACAAACATTATTATATTCTGTATAACTGGAATGACAAAATAAAAAACTATAAATTGTAACCATTACCAAGAAACCACAGGTAAGATAATATGCAAGAAATATAAAGAGTGCCGTGTCAACATAGACTACACCAATATATTAATTCTTATGTAAGTCTATAAGTGTTAGAGTTCACATAATTATTGTAGAAAAAATCCAATATTTTAAAAATATATTAAAAGAAGGTAGTTTGTGTTTAGTACTAATGAACTATCCAATGTAAAGATTATTACAAATATTGTAAATAGCGCCATCTAGTATTTATAGACCGATCTACTACACTAACTTTGGTCTATAAATACGGAGGTCGGTAGTTGAATAATCCTCTTTCGTTGAGTAAGCCGCGGCATTCAGTCGACGAGCGCAGAGCGTGCGGTTGTGTTTTGGATACTAAAGTAATTGTATTAGAAATGGGTTTATCCCGGTCTTAGTTGGGCCTGGGGGGAAACTGCAAGTAGTGAAGGTGAGTGTTAATGCATTCTAAAATGGCCTTTTAAACCTACACCCGTGTCACAAGTCACGGGCGCTACTTGGGGTTTCCCATGCGGTAGCCGGCTTCAAAGCCTAAGTCGTCATCATTCATTAGTGCTTCATACATAAAGTATTTATATAATATGGGCGTAGTTGCGTGGAATAAATAAATAAAATAAAATAAACAGCAATTTTCTACAAGTAGACTTTATACGAAGTCATCTGAGTATCTCTCTCATTTAAATAACCATTCAGGCAGACGTGGTGGGACGGGTCATCGGGGTCCCTGAAATATGATTAAGCATAGTGATGGCTAGCTCTCTCGTCATACTCGTGAACGAGTGCTGTTTGTAGGGACTGGTCTACTCTGACTGATTTATTTGGTTAATTAAGTAGTTATTTGTTTCTTTATGTCACTTTGCTATTTGGCAGTTTGTATTCACACAAAATTCATATAAAAAAAGCAACACGCAAGTTCCTTGCGCATTCTTCTTGTGATGAGTCTGCGTTCCGCATGAGTGGTAGAATAAAAAGATATGACTATACAAAAGTTTTCTTAATAAAGATTACTTCCATTTCTACACGTGCAAGAAAATTTGTAAAGTAAGATTATTAATTCCAGTCAGTAAAATGACATTTCCAGTGTTGCAAGTTTTTACCCCCAAATAAATAGTGATATGGTACAATGGAGTTTTAACAATTAAAAGTTAGTCGAGACTAGATTTTTTTTATTCAATATCAAATTGCCTTTAAATAAATAAAAATTCTAGTGTTAATTCCTCTGAATCTCTTTATACATTTTTTCCCAGCATTTGTAATAATGTTACAGTGAGAAATTTTAATATGCTGGTAAGGTCCATATTTCTAAAATCGTAATTTTTAATATGGTATGTATTTAATATTTAACAATAAAAAAAAACGCTTTGATACCTAATAAAATAAAGCATGACTAAATGTCTAAGTCTATTGATTGCCGAGCATCACTATTGTAGCGGGCCACCCTTTTTTGTATCAGTGACAGTTGCACTTGTCATTTTACTGACTGGAATTAATAACCGTACTTTAGTCATTATTTACCTTGTGGAGTGGAAGATACAGGTTCTGTAATCGGCGGGGGTTGTTGCTCTGGTGGACTATCTAAAAAGTAAATGTTATTTTTTTATAGCATAGGGGACAAACGAGCTTACGGCTCACTTCACGGTAAGTGATTACCGCCGCCCATGAACACCCAAATCAAGAAAAGAAAGGAGTTTCAACATTGCATCGTATTCTTAAACATTAACAAAACATACTCTTAAACTTTCGCGTCTAATGTAGTTTATTTTTAAGATAAACCGGTTTAACAGTCAGCTCGTGTCCACGGTTAGTGCAAGACAAAGTGATTACGTTTATTTAGCATAAAAATTTAAAAAAATGAAAATTTTAAAATTCAAAAATTATTTATTCATGTAGGACATTTTAGCCGCTTATGAACGTCAAGTTTTTACATTATATATTTTTTTTACCTACCGGTACCTAAAATTATTGGTGTTAAACTATATTAATAATAACGAAACATATGTCGTATATTTAACAAAAAACAAATTTCTGCTTATTGACCTAAGCTACAATCGATCTGTGTACCAAAATCACTCATCCATTCCATGATCCAGCCAATAGTTTTTGCGTTAGAGAATAACAAATATACAAACAACCAACTGTCCTCACAAACTTCTAAATATATATAACTCAAAGATGACTGACATAGTGATCTATCAACGCACAGCACAAACCACTGGACGGATGGGGCTGAAATTTGCCATGCAGGTAGATGTTATGACGTAGGCACCCGCTAAGAAAGGATTTTGATAAATTCTATACCCCCAAAGGGATAAAATAGGGGATGAAAGTTTATATGAAACTTTGTCAATTTTAAACCGATCGGGCTGAGACTTTGCATGCATAAAACTACTATGACGTAGGCATCCCCTAAGAAAGGATTTTGATAAATTCCACCCCTAAGGGGATAAATTAACGCGAGCGAAGCCCCAAGCAAAAGCTATGCTCACACTGTTATGCAGCTCACACTGTTATTCTGATGTATAAGCTGTATCACTGTAAAGTTTAATCAAAATCCGTTCAGTAGTATTTGCGTGAAAGAGTAACAAACATCCATACATACTCACAAACTTTCGCATTTAAAATATTAGTAAGAATATAACGTAGTAAATATATATATATTTTTTTTTTTTATTTTTAAATACATTTTTCCACAGACATATTCGTCCGTGCGTTTACGTAGTAAATATTATAAATTATAATTTACCTGGCGACGTGAGAGACACCGCTTCTATACTCTGCTCGGGCTCTGCTTGACTCTGCTCCTGCTCCACGGGACTGACTAAAATAATATTTCACTATTAACCCAAGGAAAGAAAGTTCTAGAAAATATTGAATCTATCCTATATACTAGCTGTGCTACCCGCTGAGCTACCCGCATGAAATTTATAACCTACATGTTATTGTTTCATCAAAATCCGTTCAGTAGTTTTTGTATGATAGAGTAACAAACATCCATCCATACTGACAAACTTTCGGGTTTATAATATTAATAAGATTTATAGTCCGTACATAGAGTAATCTATGTTAACTATGTATTAGTGTCTATGATTATAAGAAAAGTAAAAACTCTCTTGTCTATGTTGTCAGAACAAATATGGCGTGTATTGAGTGTGCTGGTTATAATATATTTAATAAATTGGTTAGCAGCTTCAGCTTTTATCAAATATTCTAAAAAATACAACCTTTTACATTTTTAAACTACTCAATCATGAAATATTTTTATCACCTGGGTAACTCGGCCTTATCAAATTCAGCCACTCGTTTTGTAAACCGTGTTTAGGTTGTAAGGTGCGATTAAGCAGTGAAATTACAGGGTAAGAGCATGAAATCTATTTTATGTACTTGCCACATGATAGAATAATATGGATATTCCCCGTGATATCACCGGCTATACTGATATACTGGCCCCGTGATATACTGGAGCAAAGGGCGCTCGGTAATACTGGCCACATATAAAAACATGTGGCCACTTAAACTTCAAAAAAAGAATAATAAAACAATTGAAAATAAAAACTGGAATTAAAAGGACGCTCTGTATTTTTATCTATATAAAACAAGATAATTAAGGAATTATTTAACACAATATATGTAATTGTTTTTGATGAATGTATACACTCTAGAGTGCGTGGCCACTAAACAGTACTACACATCGGGACGTTTCTGAGCAAAGGTGAGTAAGTTTGGTGTTACATTGCTTACTTTGGGGTGTTCGGAGTGTGGAAGACGTTCTTCCAGGTCGAAATCGTATTTTTACTTCCTTTTCCATTAATTATTTTCTTTTCAATAAATACAGTCCACTCTCTCTTTTATATATTAATTTATAAGGATTCGTAATCCAACATCCCGAATCCCAGGATTTGTTTTTAAGTAGCAAAATAATAGAAGCAATTTACGGCTTGGGGAAAATACTGCTAATGCGTAAATAGCACTCTGAGAACAGAAGTAATCGAGTCACTCTAGTCACAGTAACATTACCTGTATGTGTGAGCAAGATCGCATTATTATCGATATCCCAACGAGTGCCAACAAGGCGGCAACATCGCACGTTGATCCATATTAACATCAATGTTTGAGGTCAATGATCCTAAATAGCTCTACCTACTCCAATCATATATAGACGACCTCGGTGGTATAGCGGTCGAGCACACCGCATCGAGGGTTCGATTCCTCGCACGGCACAAACATTTGTATTGACGAGTATGATTGTATCGGTCTGGGTGTTTTCTATGTATAATATGTATGTATTCACAAAAAAATATATCTATGTATTTGTTTTTTGCTTTATTGACCACTAAAGTTGGTACAAAAGGTGGACTTAATATGTATGTATTCACAAAAAAATATATCTATGTATTTGTATCAGTTATCTAGTACCCATAACACAATCTTTAACTAGCTTAACTTGGGTCTAGATGGCGCTGTGTGAATTGTCCTGAGATTATTATTATTATTATATATGGGACAAGTTACCTAGATACATCAATAGTATTATATTGATGTATCTAAGTAACTTTTAGCTTTTAGCTTGTGTTATGGGTACTAGATAACCGATACAAATACATAGATATTTTTTTAGCAAATAGCAATTAATTATGGCTAGTAACACAAACTCAATATTATCTGCTAAGCACTGCCGTGTCTAAACTGTGTCACCCCACCTCAGGGGCGGAACGAGAATTTGTCGGGCCCTGAGCTAAATCTACTTAGGGACCTACTTAATTTACATTCAAACAAATTCCCCGTTCCTTTCGAGACGCGCAGTCGCATGGGTTTATTGATCTGAGGGTTGCCAGCCTTATGATAAGTTTTTAAACATTCTAGATTAAATTCTAAATATCGTTTCAGTGGGACTGGAGGACCCTCTGTGTCCTCGGGGCCCTGGGCTGCAGCCCTTTAGGTAAATACGCCCCTGCCCCACCTTACATTTTCCTATTGTCATTTAGTATATAAGATCAATATGTTTATGTACATATTGTCAGTCAATTATCATTTATAATATACATCGTCTCAACCGACAACATCGTATTATTGCCCCGCAACAGTAATCATAAGTTACTTACATGGTTCTAGGTATTCACATTCAGTGGTCTCAACCTCCAACTTGACTTCCATCTCCTGACATTCAGGCTCCAACTCCACGGCTGTGACGGACAAACAAACACATCTTTTGTTGAGAAAACTCTTTTGATATTAATATATTTAAAGGTTTTTTCTATTCTATAATGAAAAATATAAAAAAAGAAATTATTATATTGTGTCATCTTCTCTATCTACCATAACATTAAAATACAATTTTCAGTCATAAATAGTTTTATTACATATTTATACAACATCTTTAGGACTGTTATCTTGGATAGATCTATGGACGATGATATTAACAATATGATTAAAGCACGACAAGTTCTTTCACGCGTGACTCCTGATCACACTTGATCTAGCCACGAGAAAGACAGCGGGCGCTATTTTGTCGTACTATTCTAATGCTGTTCAAATCACCAAACAATGACAACTATTAAAGAATTTATTATTTTTAGTGTTTTGAAATTATTATTTTCCATAGACACGTTTAAGGCTTATAAATTCTCAATAGCTATATAATTATGTCTTTGCTCCACAGCCAGGTATCCGCCATTTTGTTAACAAATTCAAATTCAAATAATTTTTTCCCTACCGTCCAGTTCGGTATATAGATCCAACTGAGAAGAACTGGCAAGAACATTCCAAATACATAAATCTATAGACATTGTTTTAGGTGATACGAATGGTAAACATAACATTTATATAGTGAGTATCTGTATAGTTATCTTCGAATGGTAAATACTTACTTGAAATTGCAACTGTTGTCTGGTCTTCAGGCCATGCATTAGGACTGGTCTTTTTCTCTGTTTCTTTGAATAGCTGTAATACATTGTACATCTTTTTATTATATGTATCAGTACAAACATTTGTATTCATGAGTATGATTGTTTGTATCTGAGTAAAAACAACACAAAGTGAACAAATCAAATGAAATAAGAAATCATTTATTCATGTAGGACATTTTAGTTGCTTATGAACGTTTAGTTTTTTTATTTTAATATTTTCCCCTACACTCCAATTCAATTATACAGATTCTATTGAGGAGAACAAATTGTAGGACAGCCTCAATGGTATAGCAGTTTAGCAAATCGTTTTACTTCCGATGGTCGCGGGTTCAATCACGGTACAAACATTTGTATTCATGAGTATAATTGTTAGTATCAGTCTGGGTGTTTTCTCTGTATATTGTATATTTATAAAAAAAATATCGATGTATTTATATCAGTTGTCTAGTACACATAACACAAGCTCTACTTAACGCGGGACTAGGTTATGTGACTTGTGAGAATGATCCAGGAGTATTCTTATTAAGCTATTACCCTGGACTTCCCTGCGTTTTTAAATAAAAGATATATTATGTCTGGGCAACGTAATCCATCTTTTAGTCCACGTCTAGAGTCTATTAGTCTAGTCCCTTGATGTCAAAATTTCATAAAAACCAGTTGAGAGTATTGTATTCAAATTCAAAATATCTTTATTCGTGTAGGTCTATTACAGACTCTTATAATATGTCAAATCTACCGTCAGTTCAGAATGATTTCGAGATGAGAGGAACTGAAAAGAAACTCAGCTCGTATTCTTTTCAAATAAATGTTGTACATATTATGTTGTAATGATCGTTGGGCTCCATTTACCATAATCAGCATCTCATCTGGCCTGTTATGCGTGTAGAGCCTAGACTACTAGAGTAGCCAGCCAAACTCCTCTCAAAAGCGCAGAAGTCTACTGTTGTCTTCACAGGTTTCATGAGTACCAGTTGAGAGTTTAATCATAAAAACGTAACAAACAGACAGACATACTGCCACATTTATAATATTACTATGATAGTACAGATTGAAAAGTATACTGACATCCGCTTCAGGGAATTCAACCGCAGCCTTTCGAAGTATAGAAATTATCTTCTTCTCCAATTCAGACAGTGGGAACGGTTTGCTGCCACCGCCAAAGTCCTTTTGATTCCTCCTGATGTCTGCAGCTTTCGCCTTCGTACGGCACTTCAGCAGGTGCCAGTACTGTAAATTAAAAAAAACAAAATATTTTATTTAAAAGTGCCATCAATTGATGAATAGCAAAGGACAACAATAAATAAAACAAACTACAACAATACCATAAATAAAACATTTAATGTATCTAGTATTACTTTATTGAAAACTGAAATGAGATGAGAATGTTGAGGTGGATGTGTGGTGTGACAAGAATGGATTAGATAAAGAATGAATACATTAGAGGAAGTATGAAAGTGGCACCAGTGTCAGAGAGGTTGAAGAGTAATCGTCTATCATGGTATGGACATGTAATGCGTAGGAATGAGGATAATATTTTAAGAAAGGTGTTACATATGAAAGTGGATGGTTATAAGGGCAGAGGAAGGCCGAAAAAGAGATGGATGGACTGTGTGAAAGATGATATGGTGAGAAAGGGAGTAAATAACAAGATGACTGCGAACAGTGATGAATGGAAGAGAAAAACATATTACACCGACCCCAAATAAATGGGATAAGGAAGAAGCAGATGATGATATAACTTTATTGAAAATATTTGGCACTGTCTATTATTTTGTTAGAAACGAATTATTACAATAATAGGTGACATTGACACTGTTCATAAAAATAATGATTTCATACTTAGCTTTTGTAGCCCATATTTGTACTGATATTTAACATTGGTGACAATTTCATATTTTAGGGAAATTTTTTTAGCTTCTTTGCCTATATTTATACCCAAAATTTAACATTGGTGATGGTTACCATCAAATGAGCCATCAGTTTGTTTGTCATTACAGTTACATTAAAACAACAAAAATTTAAAAAGCAAATGTTTAACGAATAGTTAAACAGTGAAATTGTAGACTCCAGTATACCACAATTAAGTATTGTCAATAACATTGTTACATAATTATAGAGTTCTGGTATGTAATTCTATGGTATGTAGTCTATTGCTAATCATAATTTGTAACAAATTTAAATAGGCAGCGTCACAATTAGGTATGAAGGATTTGATTATCAACCTTATAGCAAAGGTGGTGTGCAACTGAAACTATCAAATGGTTCATACATAATCAGAGTGGTGCAGTCCACCTAATGGTAAGTGGCAACTGTTGCAATACATGAACAGCACTATTGGCATCAAATCATTATGAGAAACCCATAGTACCTCAAAGGGTATGATGTCATGACTCTGTATGCTGTAATATCACTGCTTTATCTCAACTTTCAACCCAAAGTCTGCTTGCTAAGCAAACTACTTAATAGATGATATAGTGGGAACAAAAATGCATTAGCAGATATCAAAGTTTATCTTGGATATACCACGGTTTCAAACATTTCAACATGTTTCAATAGTAGTTTTACGAACAAAGCAACAGATTACTCAATATATTTATATTATTTAATATAATTTGTATATATGAAGTATAATTTAAGAAATTATTTATATAGTTAAACAGGTTGAAACATTAATAATTTTGTGGCAAATAAAGGTATGTATGGTATATAAAATTTGCCTCTCTCGACCACAAAAATTATTTATGTTAAAATGTATTTAACTATAGGAATAATAATGTAAGAGTTGTAATCATTTCCTATTTTAAACTAACTAACTGAATGTTTTATTGTATAATAGTAGTGCAGCAGACTGTTCCAAGGGCATAAATACTTATATGAATCAATTGACAGTTGCAGTTGTGACACAAACTACATAATTTGTACGTATGTTACATAATCAAAACTCTGTTAGTAATTGAATTATATAATTATACTGAAAAAAAACACTTTTATTGTTCTATTTTACATTATAGAGGTATTAAATCTATGATTATATTACTTTTAAAATTGCACACATAGACCTGTTTACCATAATTCCATAGTTTTCAAACTTTTTAATTATTCAAATTGGTTGAGTGTTCTGTGGAATCTGTCTTGTCAGGATTAATGTTCTAAATTTGAATATTTAAAAGAATTATTAAATATAACGTTCTTTTAAATGTGGCTATTTAAAATAACTTTGTCCTTTCATAACTATTTATTAATCAATTTGTTAGGAGTCAAAACTACTTACACGCTTCCATTTTTCAGGGGTTTTACTGAGTCCTCCGTCTACATCGTTTAGTGTCTTAGATATTATATCCCATGCCTCAAACGACACTCGCTGCCCGTATGGGCTTTTACCATTGGTAGCCAAAATAATTTTTCTGTTTGCATCCACAAAATCCACCATCAGTTCGAGCTGACGGTCGCTAACTTGGCGAGTAGGCGGCATATCTAGGTCTGGAAGTTTTAACACAATATTCGTAAGATGTATAAAATGGTAAGAAAAAGTCTAAACATTGCAATAGCACTCACTTTTAATTAACTACGATTTATTATTCCAAAACCACTCAAATTAGGCCGTCAAAATAAAAAATAAATTGTACTATGTTAAAATTAAGCATAATTTTGATAATCTATTTTTGACAATCAGTATGTAGATCAAGAAAAGAAAGAGAAATTAGAGAGAAATTAATTTCAAAACAAAAACGAGTTGCAATATGCCGACTATTTTGAAATGTTCTCTTACAATTTGCTGTTGTATGGCAATATGCTTACTTCTTAAATTGATTGCATTATATGAATGCGAATGTCAGAGGAAGATCATGTTGCCAATCACATTGATGGTATAACGATTATATATTATTTTTTCAGTATCTATTATATATGAAATTGAAGAATACAGTATTGGGTATGTATTTTTTAATTATCTCCTTTTCTGTCTGTTATATTATTATTTTCTAACCACTGTTAATAAATTTAAAAGTACTTTTTTGACACGTAGAAACTATTATAGAAACCATCACATCACAGACTATATAAAGAACTACGTTCTGAGACTTAAACGTGAAAGTTCAAAGTTGTCATAGAAAGTTTACTTTCTCTTTGAAATGCATTTATACGTACCCTACCTATAAGGTGGTATTTTTATGTATACTTTACAACATATATTAATTGGTTACGAAGCTTGTTCCAATAAAACCATAAACTATAAAGTACCATGGTTTTTTTTAATCTTTACCTAGTATAACACAAAGTCGTCGTCGCTATCTTCTATATTTTAAATTACGTAACGTATTTTAATGATTTTTTTAGTTACATAGTGTGATTCAAGAGTAAGGTTATTATTTCCTATGCTATGGAATGGTGCTCCCGCCTGTGGTAACAGTTTACGCTGGCGGGGCGCCCGTGGAGGAAGATAAGATATGATATTTGGTCAATCAGCCCATCGTGGTCATATAACGAATATGTTACGAGTGTCCAAAGAGATTTTTTTTTTTTTCATATTCGTCCATCTCCTTTTCAGTGATGGAACAGGCAAAGATCCTTAGACCGTACAGCCTAGTCTACTTTTAAACTTCTTCATATTTGAACAAGTGATGAGGCCAAAGGCCAATTCTTATGTATATTTATTTATTATGTTTTCATTCGTGTTTAAAATTTAAGTCTTATCCGTAGTCCATATCCTTGTATCAATTATTTAAAGTTTCATCGATATCGAGGTAACGTATAAATATATAGGTATATATGTTTCAAAATTAGTTAGCATGTCTTGGGTGTCCAAAGAGAACCGCATGGATGTCAACCTGACATAGTACATTGCTTACAACGGAGTTATTGGTCCACATTACCCAAATATTACATTTATTATAAATAGATAATTAAACACAAAATATGTGAGATCAAGACTGTAATGTTTTTTAGGATTTCGAAAAGAAGTAACAACAAAGAACAAAAGCTATTTTAAAAAAATATTTTATTTGTTTACTGCTGTTTTTTAATAGCTTCTTTGAATTTCAAAGTAAAAGGAATCATATTTATGGACAAATACTATACAAATATATATACTATATACAGAAACTAAAGGGTAACTTTGGAATAAAAAATAGCCAAGCAAATACAAACAGGATGTAGGTAGCTACAAATGTTTTGAAATGTACAGGAATTGAACTCGTGACCATCTAAAAATGACGCAATATTCCAAATCGCTGCTCCAAAACATAAATAGAAAAGGTTGCCAGAATAAAACACAACATTTTAAACATCTCTTATATTTTGTACAGGTTCATAACAATAACATAAAATAACAATTTTTTAATAAATTTAATGAGGTAACAACACTATTTGACTTTATAAGGACAAGGAATACAATTTGACTAGTAGCGAGTTATTAATTGGCTATGTAGATATAGTCAGTTTTCTAAAGTTGTTAATTTCTACCCGCAAATTCATCTGTGGGACAAGATTAAAGAAGATAAAAATAGGCCGTTTTTCTCTGGCCCCTTTCATAATTATTGATACAAGCCAAGGCGTGAAAACATAATAAATAGCCTAGCTAACAAGGAAACTATCTTTTCAATGTTATTTTTTTAATTTGTAGTATTTACTTCCGTATTACTGCCACCCTCTTGACCCAACGTTCGGTAAATTTATTCCAGATTAAACTATAGTCCCAATTACATGAACCACAGATAAAATAATATTACTTACATGAATGAAGTCATGGGTATAAAACACTGTTTATAACTAGACCATCTGAGACCCGTGGCAAAAGCGCAGGATGCCTTTACATAGAAATACTAAGTTATTGTTTCTTAAATTGATCCAATCTTTTAGTACGTTATGTATCAATATATTAAAAAACGTTAGATTCCTGTGCTCACAATATCTCGGGACCGGGAGTGCATGTTATTTTGCCACGTCTAGGTCTTAACAAAAATAAGAGTGTAGTGTGAAGTAAGAAGGAAACATTTATATGGTATGTGCTTTAGTACTCATGTCAAATTAACAATTATTATAGTGTTATGAGCGAATACATTTCGAAGGACATATTAAAAATATTTATGAGTCAAAATAAAAGCCTATGTGCGGAAATGATAGAGTGACTAACTAATATACCCTCTAATTAGTTTTAAATATTTTAGAACAATTTAATATCTTTTATCACGTCATTATAATTATTAAATTATCTACATTTGTACACGATCATTAAGTTTTTATTAATATTTAAAAATAAATTAAATTGTATTTGTTTATACCGAAGAATATTTGCAAAGGTGCTGTTAAAACGAATGAATACTTTCTTGTTATTTTCATTCAATTATATTTATTAAAAATGTACCGAAAGTTATAAAAGATTTTCGCAATATTTTGTCCTTGCGTTTATTACATACTGAGAGTATTTATGACTTCTTTACATTACTCGATATTATTGCAATTTTTTTGTGTTCTTGCTTTATTTATTCCATGTAGACACACCGAAATATTACACATTTTGTACAACAAACTAATTTTAATTGTATTTCAACAACAACATACAACTAAATTGTATGACATATGGCGTTTTTGAACTTATAATAAATAACAATATTTTTCTAAACAATGCTATAAACAGCGCCATCTTGGAGTGAAGCTCGTCGACTCGGTACACAATAACACTTGAATACAATTTACATAAATAACATAAAAGAGATTACTATACAATATCGGATTGTTATTGGATCGCATTTTGCCGATCAGTCTATTCTCTTTGTACTATCTAGCTCCACCTTAGTGCTCCGAAGTAAAAATTTATAAATAGCGCCATCTGTGGAGAGAAATTGAAACTAAAATAACTAAACAACGCCATCTATCGGTCACAAGCTTTTCGCCTTCCTGTCACGTAGGAGGCTGGATATGAAGAACTCTCCGGCTCTGTATGACGAGCGAACTAGAGGCCCACTTGCAGTGTACAAGAAGCCTAGTTCGTTTCCTTTGTCCTCCCATTGTTTGAATTTCGCCGGCGTGACGTATTCGAACACTTTGAGATGACGCTTCGTGGGTTGCATGTACTGGCCGAGAGTCACGCAGTCTACACCTGCTGTGCGGAGATCTGTAAAACACATATAAGATATATATAAACACACATATACACATATTTTCTTCTAACCAACACGAAGTGGGCCGTCGACTATGTTAATTTTTTGTTATCTGGGATACACTATCCCCGTTGAATAATGTTGATTTTTTTTTTAAAAACTCTAACATACCATATAATACTAGCTCCCGTGACTTCGTCCTCGTGGAATAGACGACGAATGAGGAATATCCATTTCATCCCCTATTTTATTTTCGTCTTTTAAGAGTAAAATTTATATAAACTTTGAATGTTAAATTTATTTACATTTGACGATAATTCCATACAACCTTTCATCTTTCCTTTCAACCCTTTTTTCACTTTAAAAATAGCCTATGTCCTTTCTCAGGGTCTAAACTATCTGTGTACTAAATTTCATTTAAATCGTTTCAGTAGTTTTAGCGTTAAAGCAAGACAGACAGAGTTACTTTCACATTTATAATATTATATATTAGTAAGGAAGTAAGGAAGTAAGGATTTTATATTAGTAATGCTGTACCTTTCATAGTCTGCTCCACTTGCTGGTCAGATTCTCCCAGCCCCAGCATAATTGAGGATTTCGTGATTAGATCAGGATTAACTTCCTTCGCCGTTTCTAATACTTTCAATGTTTGTCGATAGCTAAAACAATTTTAATATCATTAATTATCTGTGGTTAGAGATCCATTCAGACTTTATCAGTATCAACAATCTTTCTGAGAATAATATTATTCAAACTGGGATAAAGTATGGCCCATTTGCTTTTTAGAGTTACTAGTTTTGTTTTGACAGCCTTGGTGGTCTAGCGGTGTAACACACCGTTTTACTTCCAATGGTCGTGGGTTTGATTTCTCGCGTAGTACAAACATTTGTATTCATGAGTATGATTACTGGGTATTTTCTATGTATATTATGAATGTATTTACACAATATAATGTAGAATAGAATAGAATAGAAAATCATTTATTCAAATAAACTTAATTTAAGCACTTTTGAATAGTCATAACAATTTGTTTTTTATCTACCACTCGTTCGGAAAGCTGTTGTATAAGTATTATTTCAGTTGTCTAGTACCCATAACACAGGCTCTGCTTAGCTTGGGACTAGACTGCACTGTGTGAAATAGAAAATCATTTATTCAAATAAACTTACATTGAAGCACTTTTGAATAGTCATTACATTTTTTTAATCTACCGCTCGTTCAGAAAGCTGTCTCATCACAAGAAGAACGAGCAAGAAACTTGCGTGTTGCTCTTTTAAATAATTTTATTATTACTTTACATTTTTAAGTTTAAGTGTGTGAATACAAACCACCAATTAGCACTAATTCAATTAAATACTCAAATAGAAAAAATATTGAATATATAACCAACTGGTTAAACAATTAATAAGAGGAAATCAGTCATAGTGATTAGAGCAGACCAGTCCCTATAAGCAGTGAATTGTCCAAAGGTATTATTATATTATATACTAGCGACCCATCCCAACTTCGCACGGATGTATTATAAATCTTTGAATTTCTTCTTGGTCTATAGTATAACATGCATGTATTATACATATAAACCTTGCTGATGAATTACTCTATCTATTGCTGATTCTGTTACGTAATATAAAAGATATAAGCGATTAGACAGCAGCGATGTTTTATACTATGTGAATCTGTCACAATCTTTATTCCTTTATTCGACACTAAGGTTTCATATACAAAAAATATATAAAACAATATGGCCAGTACGTTAGCTAGCAGTAACTATGTAAAGATTTTTTTTCGGTGATGTTACTCACCCAGCACGTGGGTCCCTGACGAACGGAGTCAACCGCTCCACGGTCTCGATGTTATGTGCAAACACGTCCAGCCCGCAGTTGGCTATTGTCTCGATAGATTCTCTATTGGCGCGAAAATCTGGTACTAGACACTCCACTAAGATATCTTTGTTCCTGTTTATCAAAATATAAGAAAAATGCTTTGTTTTAACATTTTATTTCTTTCTTTTCTTCCTTATTTCTGTTTAATTAAACTAATGTAATAAAGAGAAAAGAATTAATATTTTTTTGTAATAGTAAAGATAGATAGATACTGAAACAATTTAAAAGTTCGATATTGTCTCGTTAGATTCTCGATTGGCGCGAAAATCTGGTACTAGACACTCCACTAGGATATCTTTGTTCCTGTTTTTAAAAATACAAAATAAATGCTTTTTTTTATCATTCTATTTTTGTTTCCTTATTTCTTTTTAATTAAACTAATGTAATAAAGAGAAAAGATTTAATATTTTTTTGTAATGGTAACGATAGATAGATACTGAAACTATTTAAAAGTTCGCTAGTCTCGATAGATTCTCGATTGGCGCGAAAATCTGGTACTAGACACTCCACTAGGATATCTTTGTTCCTGTTTATAAAAATACGAAATAAATGCTTTTTCTTAACAATCTATTTATTTATTTTTTTCTTTATTTCTTTTTAATTAAACTAATGTAATAATGAGGAAAGATTTAATATTTTTTTGTAATAGTACACTCAAAGGATCTAGGAAACTATTTAAAAATCTTTCAGGTATAGAACGGTATATATATATATAGCTACATCTATATAAATTAAAGTACTAAAGTAGGTATATTTCATTTAATATTTAAGTTTAAAAAATGGATGTTATATAAGATAGTTGCAGGGAGCGAAACTACCGGACAAAAGTCCCTGGAGTAATTATACACTGTTAAAATGATCAAGTCTCAGTCTAACTATTGACTATAAAAGTCGAAACTGTGACTATCGCAATGTGAAGATGCTATACCACCAATAATCTTATAATATGGACTCTACTTACTGTCGTTTTATTTCTCTGACTGTTTCAGCAAAATGCCCAGAGCCGCCATCAGGCAAATCTGTAAAGCATTCATCAACATGCTTAATAACAAACTAAATTGTATAAAAAAAAATGAAAAAAAAAATTTGGTCACTGACTTTAATGTATAATTACAGCTTATTTCCCAATTTTGGTTAGAGATGGGACTTTGCAATGTGCAAAAGACAAAGTTGACTTTAATTGCAATTTGCAGATTTAATAAGAAATGCAAAGAAGTTGTATAAACAACTATAGATTGATGGATCCTGGAAAACAACAAGAGCTTCACCGACAAGTGCCCGGCTCTTAAGTTATAAATGAATGAATAAGAAATTGTACCATATTGTTACTGTTATTTTTTTCCCCTTGACAATTGACACAGCAATCTAGTAATAAATAGAGCTTGTGTTATGAGTAGGTACTAGACAACTGTTATTAGGTGTTTTTTTTTAATACATGTACACATAATACATATAGAAAACAACCAAACCAATACCAAACACAGAATACAAAAGTTTGAGTGGTGAATTGAACACGCAAATATCTGAAGTACGGTGGTCTGCTAAACCGCTGGACATCACATCCATATTTTTTTTTTATAACACAGGGGACAAACGTGCATGCGGCTCACCTGATGGTAAGTGATTACCGCCGCCCATGAGCACCCGCAACACCAGGGGAATTGCAAGTACGTTGTCGGCCTTTTAAAAAGGAATAAGCTCTTTTCTTGAAGGTTTCAATATCATATCGGTTTGGAAATACCATTGCTGGAAGGTGATTCCACAATGTGGTTGTGCGAGGCAAAAAGTTTCTAGAAAACCGCACTGTGGAAGACCGCCATTCATCCAGATGATCAGGATGGTATTTCAGTTTCTGGAGGATGGTACGGTGGTGAAACTCAGCAGCTGGTATTATATATTTGAAATACTAAGCACAATCAAAAGGATAGACTTATATATAACTTGAATATGGTCTAAGGACAGATAGATATACTTATAATAATATAGTTTATTACCATCTCGATCCACTGAGGTGAGTACAATATACCCGAGACCCCATTGGCTGATAGCGTATGCTGTGTTGTACGGCTCCTCTGGATCCAGTGGGGGTGGCGTTCGGGATGTCTTCACTGAACAGAACATACAACCTCGGGTACACGTGTCGCCCATTAACTGCAAATAAAACAATAATTTCATAATATACCAATACAATTCACACAATATCACCTAGTCCCACGGTAAGCAGAACTTGTGTTATGGGTACTAGACAAGTAATTCAATTGAGTTTCTTGCCAGTTCTCTTTAATTGGATCTATATACTGAACTGGACTGTTAGACTGTTAGAGGGCGAAAGTTAATGTTCAAAAGTGGCTATAATGTCGTACATGAATAAATTATTTTTTATTTGAATTTTGATATAAATAGTGAATATATACACAATTTTTTGTAAATACAAACATAATATGCATAGAAAACACCCAGACCGATACAAACAATCACAGTCAATTTTGAGATTTAATTGCACTGTATAAACAATTGAGTTTATGAGTATAACTGCATGTCTGTGTGTTTTCTATGTATAATAATATATATGTATTTAAACAAAAAAAATATCCGTGTATTTGTATTAGTTGTCTAGTATCCATAACACAAGCTCTACTTAGCTCGGGACTAGATGGCGTTGTGTGAATTGTCCTGAGATTATTATGATTATCTCATCATTTAAACCTATACATTTTTAACTAGAATATATGAACACTATAGTTTACCATAATAGTAGCAGTTGATGTGCCCTGTTTGCCGCCACTCCAGCATTCTCCAATGTTAGGACACCTGGCTTCCTCACACACTGTACTCAGTTTTAGTGTCCGTAATTGTTTTTTCAGCTCACTGAACTTTGAACCTAGAAAGACATGACACTATAACTTAATATAAATAATTTTAGGACTAATTGTAATAAATGGTAGATTAAGTATGGATTATGTGAGTATAGAATAGAATAGAAATAGAATAGAATAGAAAATCATTTATTCAAATAAATTTAATTTAAGCACATTTTAAGAATAGTCAACTATTTTTTTTATAACTATTCAAAAGTTAAGCACTTTTGAATAGTTATAAAAAAAAATAGTTATGATATGATTACCATATATTATATTTTTATCTACCGCTCGTTCGGAAAGCTGTCTCATCACAAGAAGAACGAGCAAGAAACTTGTGTTGCTCTTTTGTGTGAGGGTAATGAAAATAAAGTTGGATATATTGAACACTAGTCCTTGTATTTATCTTGCTTCCCATAAAATAACACACTACTAAAGTTATATCCTGGTAAATAGACGTGGCGGCGGCACAAATAGCGACTGCTGTTAGTGCCATGTAGAAGAACCAATTTGGTTAATGAAGTATCAATAATACTAAAGAAACTTATCCTAAATTTAGTAATGACATATTGTAATTTAAATAATGTAATGTAAATTAAATATTGTAATGGGTGAAAACTGTGATTGGTACAGTTTATGCTGTAAATAATATAATGACGTAGTGGAGTAACTTGAAACAGTCATGCTCGCTATAAAGTTCAAACTTGTGGCGGCGTGATCGGCCGAGTCGACGTGCTCCCTCTAATATGGTTGAGTGCAATGATGGCTGGCTCATCCGTCATACTCGTGTACGGGTGCTGCTTGTGGGGACTGGTCTGTTCAGGTTACGAACACTGATTAGATTTTTAATTTTTTTGAGTTTTTTTATATAGCATATGCTGATGGTCACTCAATTCTCCCAAATTTGAATTTAAATGAAATAGTAGTATTGTAAATATGTACAACATTAAAAAAAATATGATCTGAGTTTCTTGTCAGTTCTTCTCATCTCGAAATCATTCCGAACTGACGGTAGATTTGACATATCATAAGAGTCTGTAATAGACCTACATGAATAAAGATATTTTGAATTTGAATTTGAATTTGAACATGCTTTGAAACTTTAAATTTCGTTGCAAAATCACATATGATGTTATGCTTTGAGTGGATTCATAAAAATGATATTATATGTCATTGTGTACATTTTATAACTAATTTATATTGTATATATAAATTAGTTATAAAATATAATTAATAGTTGTTTTATCTAAAGAGTAACCAATATCTGTATTACTTAAATGAAATATGTCAAAAAGAGGTAGTATTTCTTCTCGCTATATAAAAAACAGGAATATTGTTACAAACCTCTTTTGAGGATAGTTCTCTTAAGATTGTTGTGAGTTCTGTTTTTAACATTAAATTGGACACTCTCACTCTGGAGTTTTTATTTGTTGAAACCAACTCATAGGATTAGCCAATAATATTATTACCTGTAGGTATTGTAGTTTTCAGCCATGGCGGAAGTCTGAGTCTTTCCCTTTCACCTTTCTCCCTCTTCAACTTTCCTTCATAGTCATCCCAGTCTTTGGGGCGATCGTCAGAGATGAAGTCCTTTAAACTAGGCCCTTCTCTAAGTTTCTCTCGTATTGCGTCAAGTTTGCTCATGTGCCTGCATCCTGGGAGCTATAAATAAGAAAGACTATAAAATAACAACTTCAAATAAATGATATTTATTCAGTACTAGCTACCCACCCCAGATGCACATGGGTGTACATGTATTATACATATAAACATTCCTGTTGAATCACTTTATTTATTGCTGGTTGATAAAAATTTATCTATTTCTTACCAACTTGCAATATGTTACTATCCTACATCCTACTTGTTGTGGTGGGGTTCTATTGGGTTGAGATGGTATGCAAGATGATGTCTTAAATAATCACAAATAGTATAGAACCTGAGAAAGATCATAGGCTACTTTTTAATCTAATAAAACGGTTGGAAGGAGTGGAAAGGGGAGATGAAAGCTTATATGGAAGTATCTACAATTTACGCGGATGAAGTCGCAGGCACATCTAGTTTTCTATATATCTATACATATAAATAAAATTGGAGTGTCTGTTTGTAATATTGAAATAACCGTTTTTACTACATGCATATGAATATAAATACGGTACATATACCGAAATAACAATTTTTACAATTTTTGTTTGTCTGTCTGTGTGTTCAGGCTAATCTCTGAAATAGCTGGGCCGATTTTACAGTGACTTTTATTGGCAGGTATCTGATGTAATAAGGAGTAACTTAGACCACTTTTTTTTAGAAAAATAAAGTTTAATTCTACGCGGGCGAAGTCGCGGGAACAGCTAGTAATGAATAAAAAAACTTTTATATTGTAATGAAAAACATTACTCGTAATATAATATCTCACTGTTAAAAGAGTTTACACTAAATTAATTTATATCTGTTGTTTAAGACGCAATTGACGTATTCAAAAATACCACACGATTGCGCGCAAAAGTCAACCTGACGAAACTTTATGGCGTATTACAGGTGCGACGATTTGCGTTGCCCGGTGGATAATAGATGGATATTAAATAAAACTATATCTCGTTTACTCTTTGATTCAATAAAAGTTATAAAGACCCAAGAAATTTACCTAAAAGGATTCGACACGCTGAAGGTCACATAAGACTGTACTCACCTCAATGTTTTTGGCAAAACACAATTTCAAGTTAGTCCGAAACATATTGCGTGGATATCTAAAACATTGTATACTAAAACATATATTATAGCTATTTGTTTTAAATATTAAAAAACAATAAATTATGTAAAAACAATTTGAAGAAGTTTGTTTTCATGTGGTTTACAGATCAAACGATAATAGGCTCACAGTACTCTGTGCAGATGACAGACAGCTGACGATGACATATGTGCGATATACATTTCAGTTTTAGTTTTGCTGAAATAAGGATTTCTATTTAAATACTCGGAAAAATAATCGTGTATTGAAAGAAATAATTAAAAATCTCTTTATGAAGTAGCCAAAACGGACAATTATTATAGTTGCCTAGTTTTCAGGAGGCAAGTGCATGGGGTATTCCAAACATGCTTAAGACCGAAGGACTTAAGGAGCGGCAAAATATAACTTATACCTGACGGAGACGAATTTGGTGATGTCGAACCACGGCTCAGGAACCATTGTAATTTCGATTTTGGGGTCGATCGGAGAACATTGATCGGTCAATGCCGTAAATCAAAAGCATCTGTGTATCGTACATGTCAAGTGTAGCTTCTAGTTACGTAGTATACGGAAATTCTACCGAAAACATGATATAAAAAAAACAAAAAATCCTACCAATTCAACAAATTCTACTAATTACTAAAGAAAATTCTTTGTTAAAACGAAACTTATTTAAATTCATGTTAAGTATTATTATCAATCTTTAGCGATAATCGTAAAGTATTAAATTGTTCGTGTAAATGTAGATAATGGACTTGTAGTAATTATAAACAAATAGTGACCTTGAATGGAGCAGCTGTCAAGTGAACCTAACCAACTAAACGATGAAATAAACACATCTTATTCATTGAACTCTTCATCATGAGATACGTGGATTCGCAACTTGTAGACAAAATGGATGAGGCAGTTACACACTACATGAATTCCCATCAATCCAGTGAGGTACTTACATGACCAATGGCTTTGTTATCACATTATTCACATAAAATATTAGTGTTGTACCCGTAATGTTTATCAGCGTTCTTTTTTCAAAAACTGACCAGAAGGAAACGATGTAAATCTAGTATTAATGATCATAAATGGTTTATTACGTGAAATGCTTATGCTTATACATTTTAAAAAGTTAATCTAGTAAATCTTTTGATGAAACCGAAAGTTAGAGCTGCTGATTTAAAAGCTAATCTTGTTTATTTATGAGTGATGTATTGAGTTGATTTTAAAACATTTACATACTTAACTGTCTGACAAAAAATTATTTAAAAAAAAATCAATTATGATGATGACTCTACGTACAATAAATTTCAGAATGTTCATGTTGATGCCAATGGTCTATCCCTCAATGTCCAAGATGATGGGGGAGGAAGAGTGGTCACGGTCATGCATTCACAGAATTTGCCATCATCACAAATGTGCAGGTAATTTTAACTGTTACTGTTTTTTTTTTAATTTTAATGGGAATGGGTACTTGGAATTTCACATAGAACGCAATGTAAATTATTTATTATTTTTAATTTTAAAACATGTGCAATTTGAAATATATAAAATACAGTTCACTGAGAGTAAATCTCTAATAGCACACACTTATCAAATTTTTGATTATTACATTTGATTGAGTATAGATAAGACCACTGCCATCTTAAACTAGGCTGGGGCCCTTGGGCACACAAGAATTCGGGGCTCATTTGATAAGTGAAAAAAAAGTTCATTAGGTATAAGAAAATGTGAAAAAAATATTTTTAGAACAAATGTGTGAGAATAATTTAGGCCCCCTGAGAACGGGGGCCCTGTACTATAATGGTAAAAGCATAAAAATGTATAATATATGGACTATTTAACTACAGATAATACACATTATATATCTCTTGGTCCTTATTGCCAACTTTTTTTTATTTGAAACAAAACTGCTTATCAAATTTTTACTTATTACATATGATTGTAGTATAGATAAGACAAGTAAGAATTAAAAAGGTATTAGTATCTAACTACAGATAATACATTATACCTCATGTTTATTATTGCCAACTATTTTTTATACCACATTGATTATGGCAATAATCATTGTGGTATAAGAAATTGTTGGCAAATGCAATGCAAGTCAAAGTCAGGTAGAAAAAAATGGATGGATTGTATGAAAGATGATATGGCAAGAAAGAAAGTTAATTACAATATGATTGGAAACCCAAAAATGAATGGAAGAGGAAAACATATTACACCTCTTGTACCTACTTCAGCTCCTAAGTATGCTGATTCATTGATTGCCATTTGCCATCAGCTCCTTTACTATAATTTCATTACATAGTATAAAACAAAGTCACTGTCGCTGTCTGTCCTTCCCGCACTATGTATGTTTATTCTTTAAAACTACTAATCTACTCATATTTTGTGCCCGACTGTAAAATATAACTGTGAGTAAGATGTATGGAATAAATACCATTAACCTACATCCCCTCTAACAATGTGTAGGTTGTTTTTATGATAACATTATCAGTTGATGTTAGTTATAAAACATATATATATCTCTTTGGAGTGAACATTATGAAAATGGGTTCTTCATTTTACAATAATTAGGTTAATATACAGACACAGTTGTTGACAATTAGTGTAATCACTGCCAAATTAATAACAGATATTTAAGCATATCTTTACACAGTATAAAACAAAGTTGCTGTCTCTCTGCCCATCCCTATGTATCCTTAAATCTTTAAAACTAGGCTACTGATTTTGAAGCGGTTTTCTTAAATGAATAGAGTGATTTGAGAGGAAGATTTATATATATAATACATGTATGTGTGAAGCCAGGGCGAGTAGCTAGTGTAATATATATTATGTTATAATACCGGCTGCTTTCAGCCACAGCGACTGTCATCAACTCCGGTTTTGCTGTTAATGTGCTCGCATGTGACTTATGTGAGCAATTTTCTTTGTAAAACTCCTCGCACGGAGCATTAGAGCACACTGTTCACATAATTATAGCTGATAGCCGCAGGTGCTCGGGCTTTCAGCTCGTCGCATCTGACATCCAGCTCAAGGAGCTGCCGCGCCGGTTTTGGTATATATTATACTATTCTAATGCAACATTTTTGGCGCAGGCAAGTGTCTGTGGGGGAACAAGTGGGTGATGGGCCATGGGGTGAAGAGCTGCTGGACACGGATGGAAGGTTGGCAGCACTTGTGGCACATCTGGCGCAGCACTCAAAGGTGCCACACTACCAGACATCCCATCACAAGGTATGTTGAATATTGAAAGTAGTATTGGTAACAAAGATGAACGAGCCAAGAGACTATGACATGTTTTAGAGTCCTCAAAATTTTTATTTACTGTTTTTAATTCCTACTTAATTGTAAACTGCTGTAAACATTATTCAGTTTATAAGATAATAATGTCCCTGGACAATTTTCATAGCTCCATCTAGTCCCAAGCTAAGCAGACCTTGTGCTATGGGCACTAGGCAACTGATACAAATACATACATTTCTTTTGTAATATATGTAAAGAAAACAGCCAGATTGGTACAAACAATCATACTGATGAATACAAATGTTTATACCATGCTAAGAATCGAACCCGCGACTATCGGAAGTAAGGCGGTGTGTTTAGCATCGACGGTCGCCGCTATTTATTCGAGATAATATATCGATTTAGAAAAACAGTTTCATGAGTATCTGGCTATTTTTTTTTATAATTGTAATATCTCAGGACAATTGACACAGCGCCATCTAGATCCAAGTTAACCTAGCTGACGCTTGTGTTATGGGTACTAGATAACTGATACATATACATAGATATTTTTTTTAGTAAATACATATTATACATAGAAAACACCCAGATCGATACAAACAATCATACCATTTGTGCCGTGCGAGGAACCCGCGACCATCGGTCGTAAAGCGGTGCGCTGGACCGCTGGACCACCGAGGTCGTCAAATGTAATGGCTAACAAGCTGAGGAGGAGTAACGATCTTCTATATACATGAACAGAACTACGGTCATCACGTAATCACGTGACACCTGCTATAGTACTACGCATGTACCATTTCAGATGATTAAGATATAACGCCTCTTATCCTGTATTTTAGCTTTTCGTCTAATCCTTATCCTTACTAATATTATAAATATGAAAATAACTCTGTCTGTCTGTCTGCCTTGCTTTTACGCCAAAACTGCTGAACCGATATAAATTCAATTTGGCACACAGATAGTCTAGATCTTGAGAAAGGACATAGGCTACATCTTGTAGTGTAAGAGGAGATCCTCTTTGAACCCCTTACAACCCTTTTTTACCCCCTTACAATCTTTCATCTGAAAGATAGTATGGAAGTATCGTCATTTTTAGAAGCTTGAAAATTCTGTTCTGATCTGTTGATTAAATGTAAGTAAATATGTAAAACAAAATTTGTAAAATTATACTATACCCTTAAATAAAATAGGTGATGAAAATTTGTATGAAAATTCATCAGTTTTGCAGCTAGAATGATGAAACTTTTGTCTTTAGTTTTTTTGGGTTAGATTATGAAAAATTTTTTGGCTAGGGTCACTATTTCTCGCGGACGAAGTCGCGGGCACAGCTAGTCCTTGATAAATGACCCTGTATTTGCTATTTCTGTGTTACATTCAGGTACCTTCAGTACGGGATATGGAAGCTTCTGTGATCCTAGATGCCCCCATAAGGCTGTTCAATGGACAAACCTTAGTAAGTATTTTCTTGTGTAGTTTAAATCTTAATGACATATAATGGTCATGAGTTTTTTTTATGGATGATAATGTAATGATACACTTCCTTGCGCTAATGGTTTACGAAAACGGGGCACCAGCGGAGGATGATAAGTTAAAATTCAAATTCAAAATATCTTTATTCATATAGGTCTATTACAGACTCTTGTGATATGTAAAATCTACCGTCAGTTCGGAATGATTTCGAGATGAGAAGAACTGACAAGGAACTCAGCTCGTATTATTTAAAAAAAAAATGTTGTACATGTTTACAATAATACACAGTCATTTAAATTCAGATTTGGGAGAATAGAGTGACCACCAGCTTATGCTATTGCAAAAAAGAAGAAATGTAATCAGTGAGTAAGAGCATCAGGTCAGGTCAGTGAGCACATCATGTCAAATTCACCACAAATTTAGCATGACTGTTTACAGGGGTGAAGATCAACCTGACATGGTACATTGCCAAGTGTGGGGTCCTTAGTCCACATTGTTAACAATCCCCTGTATGGAAGACTATTAAGCCATTCCAGCCTATGGGCGTTTAGGTTGTTTGCCATTGCAGTTATAAAAAAATCAACAGGATCAACAGAACGAGGCGATAGTGGTGGATGTCCCTCAGTTGGATCCGCTGCCGCCTCTCCGGGAGATGAAGAGGTGCCCGGAAACTGATTGGTTCAATAATAAAACGAAGAATATCCTGAAAGTATGTTTGTGTATTTTTTACAAGCAAGTTGCAATGTAACAATATTTGAAAGGGCTTGCTGAGAATGACTAGTAAAATAATGTGATGTCGCTCTGAATCCAATATCTCGTATATCCGTCTTAAGATGGTGGACTAAGTTTCTTACTTAGAATACTTTACTAAGAAGTACCTATAACTAAAAAGTAAAAAATAATATAGATTAATAAGAATAATAATCTCAGGACAATTCACACAGCGCCATCTAGCCCCTAGTTAAGCTAATTAAAGCTTGTGTTATGGGTACTAGACAACTGATACAAATACATAGATTTTTTTGTTCGTAAATACATACATATTATACAGTGAAAACACCCAGACCGATACAAACAATCATACTCATGAATACAAATGTTTGTGCCGTGCGAGGAATCGAACCTGCGATCATCGGACGTAAAGCGGACTAGACCGCTAGACCACCGAGGTCGTCGTAAGAGACGAGAGATTAAAAAAAATAAAAAAAAACTTATGTTTAAATGTTCTACAAAGAATAAAATGAACTTTTCCTTTAATTCTTTTAGCATTAACTCATTACACAATTTATATGATATAAAAGCTTGTCGGTAAATTAGCTTAATAAACGAGTATTTATTTTTCTATTTTAATTTAGATAAAAAATTATCCTAAGTAAATACAAGTACTTAAGTCCGGCATACTACATACATAATACACTTACTACATACATACATAATATACATAGAAAACACCCAGATCAATGCAAATAATCGTATTCATGAATACAAATGTTTGCACCGTGCGAGGAATCAAATCCGCGACCATCGGAAAGTAAGGTGTGCTAAACCGCTAGACCACAGAGGCTTTCAAAACAGGTTTCTTTAAATATAAAAAATGTGATTTGAGTTATATAAAAGAAGTTTCAACATATTTCATAGGATGACAACACAATGCTGACTGACTCGGACGGACCAGTGTTGGAGATGGCAGGAGCTTCACCCGCCCAGCACAAGCAGCAGAACAAGAAGAGTCTACCGCACAAGAAGAGGATATCTAGGAAACTGAAGAGGAACACCGGGAGCAGCACGCCGCAGCAGGTATGTTTTTCTTCAAATATGAACCGTCTACCCATCTGCGCTAATGTCTTACGCTGGCGGGGCACCAGTAGAGGATGATAAGATGAACTTGAGGTCAAGTCAATTAGGGCATCGTGACAAATTCTCCAGGAATATTCAAGATGGTTTCCAGGGTCAAACATGGTACTTTGCTAGCAATGGAGCCAACAGTCCACATTACTAACAATCCCATATTGTTTGCGATTTAGCGCGGGAAAACCACCACGCAGTAACAATCCCCTCCGATCGATCCCCCGTCCAATTCAAACGGGGATCGATATTACGACGGCCTGAGCCGAAGTTCGAACCCCTAGCGGTGCCGTTAGACTAAAGTCGCATCCGTCAAGCGAGAGTTGGCCTTCAGCCGCTCCATAAGTCCTTCCGCAGGTTTGGAGTGCCATCTGCACTCGCTCCCTATCGTCCGGTGAAGCTGTAAAGGCCAGCTGCGGTCAACAGCATTAGAGTAGTCCGAAAAAAAACAAAATAACAATGTTTTACTTTAATGTCTATCTCTGTTGTGCAGGATATAGTGCTGATAAACTGCAGTGAAGAGGTGCCACAGGAGGAGATACTGCCAGATAACTTCGTGTCTGCCGTACAGCATCAGGAACACTTGCCCGAGGACACGCATCACATCTCCCACGAGGTAATATTGTGACCTGTGCTTAAAAATGTACTAGTCACTTTTCTAGAATGATGATTTTAAATAGTTGTAACTTTTTTGTTTCAAATCATTAAAATGTTAATTATGATTTGAGTAAATGAAAATTAAATTAATTCAAATGTCATATAAAACCCTTACTTTAAAAAAAGGCCTATTATAAAATTGAAGATTTTATAAATGATAATAATGTTTTTGTAGAAAAAAAAAATACTTAAAATTTATAGCGATCATTCAAATGAAAATCAATTCATTTAGATGTCGTATAAAACACTTTTTTTTTTTTTTGCAAAAAAGCGTATTATAAAATTGATGAGTTTTTAAATACTATTAATGATTTAGTAGCAAAAATTAAATAAAATTCATAATGCTGACAATATTATTTGATGGCACAAAGAATGAGCATTAGCATAGCGGTTTATATGTTGATTGTCGCATGCTTTCTACTTGTTAAAACAAAATTTATCTAAAAGAGTAACACGCAAGTTTCTTGCTCATTCTTTTTATCATGAGTCTGAGTTTTGAATGAGTGGTAGAATTAAAAAATATGACTACTCAAAAGTGCTTTTTAAGTTCATTTGAATAAAGATTATTTCTATTTCTAACCTGATTTTATAATCATATATTGTTTCCCAGGTTCGTCCCATATTCCTCTGCCAGTTGTGTGGCGAGTTCTACGGAGATGATCAGCTCAAGTTCTTCCAGCATTTGAAGCAGCACTACGAACCCCATACAACTATCATAATCGAAAACCCTGTACCTGATATGGGCATTGAAAAGGTATGCACACGAAAGTTTCTTGCTCGTTCTTCTTGTGATGAGACAGCTTTCCGAATGAGCGGTTGATTAAAAAAATGTAATGACTATTCAAAAGTGCTTGAATGTAAGTTTATTTGAATAAATGATTTTCTATTCTATTCTATTATATGTATTTTAATAGTCTTACTTACTACATCTTTAATTATCTGGAGGTGTTTTTTTTCAAGATTTTTTTTAGTTGTAGGTGCTCCTAAAAACAGGTTATTAATTAACCTGTTTTTAGGACTGTAGTATGCCTGTTCATCTACCCTCATTATTGTTTCCTATTTTTATATCACATCCATTTTTTAAATCTATATAAAAATGTGTTTTACAACTTAATATGTCCTCAAGATATAGTATTAGAAATAAATCGTGCTATGTAGCTTGTATCACTTTATGTAAAGAACATATTGTACCTACCAACGTTAATACACTTTATTAATCAACAAAGTATAAAACGAAGTACCCTCATCTATATATATGACACAAGTTATATACAAAAAATGAAATTTAATTTCCCTCTCTAATTAGAATAGAATAGAAAATCATTTATTCAAATAAACTTACATTGAAGCACTTCTGAATAGTCATTACATTTTTTTTAATCTACCGCTAATTAGAAATAGAAATAATCTTTATTCAAAGAAACTCATTATAAACACTTTTGAATAGTCATATTTTGATTCTACCACTCATTCGGAATGCAGATTCATCACAAGAAGAATGAGCAAGAAACTTGTGTGTTGCTCTTTTTAATAGATGTTTTTTTATATAAATAATTACGGTAATTATATCAAGTAAGAGGCATGCGATAATTAACATAGAAATCACTACGCACTCATTATTAGTGTAATCAAATAATATTGTCAGTGCTATGGATTTAAAGTTTTTCTATAAAAACATTGTTATCGTTAACGAATTCTTCAATTTTATAGTAAGCTTTTTTGCAAAGGAAGTATTTTATTTGACATTCAAATCTTTTTTCTGGCAGATTTATAACAGACTCTGGTATTTTGTTTTAAAACCTTACGCAATTGTCATAAAACGAATTACTAACTTTAGCCAAACGACATTTAGGTAAAATCAGTTTGTTATTGTTACGTATGCTTTTATTGGTGCAATCAATAACTCTTTTGAAACTGTCTATATTCTTCCTGGCATACATGATATATTCATAAATATATTGAGAAGCAACGGTGAGCAATTGGGAGCAACATTTATATTTCCATTCTATTCTTTAACTTCAGTATAGTATGAACACTGTACATATTCAAATTCAAATTGAAGAAATATTTTTTCATATTGGACATTTTAGCCGCTTATGAACTTCAAATTTTTTATATTATAATTTTTTCCCTACTATCCAGTTCAGTATACAGCAAGAAACTCAATTGAATTTTTTTTTTTAATCAGTTTATTTACAATGTGTATGTATATAGGTGTCTATGTCTAACATTAAATGAAAATCCCGTGCATGAACAACTATTGCCATGCATGCATGCCTCATTCCCATAATCAAGTAATCATTTAGTGACTAATATTGAAATTTCGATGAATTTTTTGAACTCACATTTTTACAGAATTTAGATCGATTCGTTTAGGATTATTAAGAAAGTTTTAATTAGAACAGATTCAGCTATTTCCGATTTTTTTTTAATCTATACAACATGTAATTCCAGATGACCAACACATGTATAGTTGATAATGTAGCCACGCTGCCTGACTCTATTGTGGAACTTTCACTCGAGAACACAGTCCCAAAAACTATATACCAGCCAATGGACAAACATATTCTCTACACTTCAAGCGATAAGACGCTCAACTACTCAAGCAATAAGCTACAATATTCCATGGCGAGTATGGACAAGGAGCCTGTTCACCCATCAGAAGCAGATAAGAGTGATTTGTATGATACACTGGAGTTGTATCGCTTGAAGAGCCACAAGTCTTATAAGAAGCAGAAACCGGAGAATCATATCAAAGAAACAAATAATAGTGCCAAGGTAAGCATTAATCCTTCGAACCTTTTGACACAAATCTGTGCATTTCGATCTTATTTCGTTTTAAATAGAGACTAAATTGATTAAAAAGAAGTTACGGTTTTGCGGCCACAGATCTGTGACAAGACGGTAATACGGCTTAAGAGGGGTGCCTCTTTTTAATCAATTTAGTCTCTATTTAAAACGAAATAAGATCGAAATGCATTTGAAAAAATACACTGTCAAGTTCAGCTCGTTCGTTCCTTAAATTATAAAAAAAATAATTGTGTGAATGGATATGTCGCCTATATCGGTAGTCAAGCAGCTTGCTTTGTAAGTTGTATTTCAGTTGAAAAGGTACTGTTGTTGGAGTTGAAAGGTATCATGCATATAATAACTTATAGAGTGCAAAGGCATGACACTTTTCTACTCCAACGCCCCTAGATCACCAATGCTGACTGCTGGTGCCTCGACAGCATTTTTTCCAGCATTTTATTTAATCTTATGTTGTATTATGTATTGTCTATTCTTATGAATATGTTGTGTGTGATTAGTTACAAATAAATAAACGATATATTTATCTATCTATCTATTTAATTATACCATAGGCGGGCTTAATGCATAAATTTTGAACTGTTGAATGTTTCTTGTTTCTACCGTTTCGAGATAAAAAAATAAGCTATACCTTTTCTCGTGACACATGCTATCTTCGCAATAAAAGATGCAGACAGAGACATTTTCGTATTGTATTAATTAGTTTAATTGTTAATTTGATGTGTATATTATCCAGTTGGATGACATGGGTGAGTTCAGCGAGCCCGAGGACCTGATGGAGGGCATCCACGTATCGGTGGAGGATGGCGGCGACCACTACGACCACATCATGCCGCACCTCACCGTCGACAACGGACATGTGCATCAGGAACACGTGCGACACTGGTGCGTACTCACACGATCCCACACTGCCTACAATCTGTAACTCATATGCTTTCAAATGTCGATAACGGACACGTGCACTAAGAACACGTTCGACACTGGTGCGTACTCACACGATCCCACACTGCCTACAATCTGTAACTCATATGCTTTCAAATGTCGATAACGGACACGTGCACTAAGAACACGTTCGACACTGGTGTGTACTCACACCATCCCACACTCACTACAATGTGTAACTCATATGCTTTCAAATGTCGATAAACGGATACGTGCATTAGGAACATGTTCGATACTGGTGCGTACTGACACGATCCCACACTCACTACAATTTGTAACTCATATGCTTTCTAATGTCGATAACGGACATGTGCACTAGGAACACGTCCGACACTGGTGTGTACTCACACCATCCCACACTCACTACAATGTGTAACTCATATGCTTTCAAATGTCGATAAACGGATACGTGCATTAGGAACATGTTCGATACTGGTGCGTACTGACACGATCCCACACTGCCTACAATCTGTAACTCATTGTTTTCAAATATCGATAACGCACACGTGCACTAGGAACACGTTCGACACTGGTGTGTACTCACACTAACTCATACTCGTGTTCTAATGCTATCTTCTCATCGAAACAACTCATTAACAATAATAATAATAATACAAGATTATTCACAGAGTATCATTTAGTCTCTAGTTATGTAGAGAGAGTAGTATTTGTGACGGTATTATAAGAGTTTTAGTAGATCTACATGAACATTTTTTTTATTTATTTAGTAGCATTTGCAAAATAATAAAAAACATTTACTTTTTGATTTGAGTGCTACTAACAAAATGGAATGTTAAAAGTATTTTTTATGATATAATAGGTATATGAGAAGTGGGAGCGGGTCTCATAGCGGCGGTCCCCCGTCGCCCGCGGGCCCCGCCCCCGCCCCCGCCGCCCCTCCTCCCGCCGCCGCCGCCGCCGCCAGTACCGCGGGTCCCGCGGGTCCCCCGGGCGCCGGCTACTGCGACGCGTGCCCGGCCACCGCTCGGGACCCACTCTACTTGGCAGACACACACCCACCGGAGCCCCATCATCTTAAGGGTGAGTCAAGTTTTGGTACGAACCGAGTTGAACTTCAATACATATAGTCGTTAGTTATGTCCTATACTTTACATATCTGTTAAGATTAAAAGTAACAGTATTTTTAATCGTGAAAAAATAATTATAAATACCTAATCGGATGCTAAAAAAAGGTAAGATTAATTTAATGTTTTAAATAAGAAATTCCATGATCTCTTAAGAGCATGGCCTGTTTAGAACTGCAGAAGCTCTATACTAGGACATGTGTCTAAAGCTGCACTAGCAGGCTCCTACGAGATTTGGCTGAACAGAGAGAAAAAAACATGCTTGTTTAGCTAAATGACGTCATATGAATTGTTCAATATGTATAGTATCCATAACAAACTCTGCTTAGCTAGGGACTAGATGAGGCCGTGTGAATTGTCCAATGTCTATAGTGCCCATAACACAAACTCTGCTTATCTAGGGACTATATGACTTATTAATTGTCCAATTGTAATATGAATGTGGATGGTTGTAAAGGCAGAGGAATGTTGAAAAAGAGATGGATAGACTGTGTGAAACATGATATGGTAAGAAAGGGAGTTAACGAGATGACTGCGAACAGGGATGAATGGAAGAGGAAAATATCTTACGCAGATTCCATGTAAATGGGATAAGGAAGAAGCCAATGATGATGATTATACAAATATTACTTTTAAACTTTCGTGTATAATATACATTATTTAAATTATTAACCGGGTCTTAACACAAAAAAAATTATGGCAAATAAAGGTATTTACCTCTCTCGACGTTTCGACTAGGTTGCACTAGCCGTGGTCACAAGCTGACTGTCTGCTCGTTAGGAGAAAATGGTGCAGTCATTTTCTACTAATACCTACTGTCCTAAATGAATTACAGATGAGATATTAAAGCGTATCCTCGAAGTGGACGTGCCAACGGTGAGCACGAACTACACCAATCACATGTTAGAGGAGAACGAAGTACAGGAGCCCGAGCAGCCGCCTCTGGAGGCCGACACGAAGGCTCCGCAGAAGGCCGACAAGAAGACGAAGACGTTTGTGTGCGTGCAATGCGGACGCGTGTTCCAGCACAAGAACAGTCTGCTGTACCACATGCTGTCTCATAGTGATAGGCAGCAGGTCTGTAGGGAGTGCGGCAAGAGTTTCTACACTGCTACCGCTTTGAAGGTGAGGCTCTTAGTTTATGTGACTAGAATGGTAAATAATAATAATCTTTATCTTACTGCTCACAAGGAATCTTACAATGTAAATAAATTATATTTATAATAAACTAGCTGTGGCCGCGGTTTCACCCGCGTTCAATTTCAATATAAAATATATACTATGTGTTATTCAGAAACATAAGCTATGTTCAAAATCTACCCTGTATCATCGTAAGCACAGATTATTATATTAGAGTCCGTTCGTTTTCTGTTCCCGCGCTTTCACTTCCCCTCCCTTACCTAGTAACAAACGGACCGTACAGCGGCCTTGACGCGCGCGCGCATTTGTTGTGAATTAAAATAAATTAGAACTGTGAAACCTACTGTGAAACTGGAAAGCTAGCGAAGATACCTTCGAGACCCTGAAGCCCAAGAAATCCGCAGAACCATACAGGTACGTGACTGACGCTTCCAACTATATATATACATAGTAAATTCCCTAACATTTTGGTAGCAGAGAGTATTTTCCCTAACTGTAAAATATATTATTGTAAAATTCATCAAAATCCGTTCGGTAGTTTTTGCAAGAAATAGTAATAAAACATCTATATATTACAAACTTTCGCATTTATAATATTAATAATATATTTGACGGCATCGGTGATTTAGCGGTTTAGTGTAAACCAGTAGCGGGTTCGATTCCTCGTACGGTGCAAACTATTGTATTCTAGGGTATTATTGTTTTTAATGTTCTGAGTATTTTCTATATGTATTTACAAAAAAAATTAAGTATTTATATCAGTTGTCTAGTACCCATAACACAACTTAGCAAGATAAGACTAGATGGCGCTGTGCCTATTGTCCTGTGATTATTATTATTAATCAAGAATCATTGTAAAGAGGTTGTATTTTTCTCAATGATTACTTCTATTGTAACTTATATATGATGTGTTAAGGTACACAAGCGTGTTCACAACGACGACCGTCCGTACAAATGTGACGAGTGCGGCCGCGGCTTCAGGCAGTGGAGCGTGCTCAAGTACCACAAGAGCTCCATACATTCCAACCAAGTGAGTCTCATACATATTTGTATTTATTCACGATGCAAACAGGTTGGTACAAGCAGCAGTGTGAAATGTAGACATGTCGAAACGTGTTAACGGCATAATCCAACAGGAGACCAATGCTGAATAATAGGCTGAGAATGAAGACTTCAATTTGTCCGTCCTGCAAATCCATGAATCCACTTGCATTCTACAATTCAAGTGGATTCATGGAATTACCAGGTGATTACAGGAGCATAGTGGTGGGCTGTTGTAATGAATTTAGGATCGTCGTAATACAAGTCTGTGACATTTCGGTGTTTCGGCCCTATAGGGTCTTTGAGTTGAGGACCAAATTGCTACTCGTGTCTGATACTGGTCTTGTTACTGAGATGTTTAGAGAATACCCAGTGAATTTAATGAGGTTCATTTTAGAATATATTGCTAAGAGATCAAGTGATCCTATTAGGATCTCAATAACTCACTCTCTCAATCACAAGATCACTTGATCTCGTTGCTAACAACCTTTTCTTCCCAGAGTCGAGGTAGTAAACACTGTGCTCGCGCTTTCATCTGCATGAATTTTATAAGATACTGGGATAAATAATAGTGCACAGTTATTCTGATGTATAAGCTATATCACTGTAAAGTTTCAACAAAATCCGTTCAGTAGTTTCTGTACGAAAGAGTAAGAAACATCCATCCATACTCACAAAGTTTCGCGTTTAGAATATTAATAAGATTAAGATTCCCAAACGGTATTTATTGAGTGCAAGTTTATGGCATGTATTGTTGTGTTATTATATAGAAACACTTCAAGTGCGAGTTCTGCATGAAGGAGTTCGCGCGCAAGTACTCCCTGAGCCTGCATCGGCGGATCCACACCGGCGAGAGGAACTACAAGTGCGAGTATTGCAACAAGAGCTTCCGCGCCTCGCATTACCGACTCAGCCACATGCGCACGCACACAGGTAACGAGCACACACGCACACATACAGTCACACACAAACACACACGCAGCTCAAGAGATTGTTAGTTAGTGACAGGCAGAGAATAGAGATAGAGAGTTTTTTGGGACTACTCTGATGAGATATGGCACTTTAATTTTAGGAGAGCAATACACCTTAGTCCAGAACGGCATCGCATGAAACTTCATATAATGATGTAGGTACTTTTCTTCGGACTACTCTAATGCTGTTGGCCGCAGCTGGCCTTTACAGCTTCACCGGGCGATAGGGGGCGAGTGCAGATGGCACTCCAAACCCAAAAAGAATTTATGAAACGGCTTTAGGCCAATTCTTACCTGATGTATACGACTTTAGTCTGAGGCCACCGCTGCGGTTTCGAAGCTCGGCTAGGGCCTTCGCAATTTCTATTTCCGTTTGAATTGGACAAGGGATGACGGGACGGCGGGACGGTGGCACACTAACACATCGTTTATGAATGTAGCAGGTAATTGCGATGTAATAATCAAGACTTCATAACATAACATATTTTTCAGGTGTCAAGCCATACAAATGCACCCAATGTGACAAATCCTTCCGAGTCACCGGCGATCTTCGGCGGCATCTGCTGACCCACGAGAAAATGCGCAATCGCCTCGAAGAACAGAAGAACAAGAAAGAACCAAAAGAAAAGAAGGCATCAGCGAGCAAAGTCGACGTCAAAGTTGAAGCTCCTATCGCAAATGACGGGAACAATGAGCAGACGCTGAAGGTCGTAAGGAAAGTCGCAGTAGCATCTACAACTAGAGGTCCAATTTTGAGGAACGTGGATAAGAAGGCGAAACCGACAAAGAAGAATCAAGGTAAAAAGGAAGGTGCCCCTAACGTTACCATTGGTCAAAGAGCAGAGAACATACAATACAAAACAGAATATACAAATATTAACGCAGGTGCATACGATACAAGGCAAGATGGTGACTACCATAAGTTTAAAGAAGTTTACAACGACAATGTTGAGTATAGTAAAGAAGATGGACTTGTTAGTTACAAAGTTAAAGAACATTATAACGGACAGATAGTTGGGTATAAAGAGACGGGTATAGGTATGAGCGAGACGAGAGACTTTGCTATACTACGGCCTATGTTTAAGAATGATCACGACAACGCAGCAGAGAAACAAGTGTACACAAGACCGGAGAATACAGATGGTAAGATGCAGGTTTTTACACACGTGGAGAAAGGTAAGGACTACAACGGACCAATAGTAGCTAATTCGGCGTCTTTAGGAGATATGAGGCATTTAGATAGAGAGACAGGTAGAGATTCAAGAAACGATACGTTGCATGGAGAGACGATTGAGAACGGTTTCCTAGAGAGACTGGCTGGGCTCTACAACATACCGGCTTTATGAAAATAGTAATTATTACTGATTACATTCAGTAATTTTTTCCTCGTAATAATATACATAGTTTTATTTAATGTCGCTTATATTCTAGGATGTGAATAGTATCTGCCTTTACACCTACGTTCTTTCACGCGTGAATTATGCGTGTTCTTTCACGCAGGAAAGAATAAGCATGTCAATGTAAAAAAAGAACCAGAAAGATCGCGCCCGCCGCCATCTTCAATCGTGCGTGTTTTAGCGCCTTTTTGTCGTAATTATCATTGCAAAATGGCGGACATTTGACTATGGACCAAAGACAATTATAGAGTTATGTGATAATTTATATATCTTATAATAATTATTATTTATATATTTGCTTGCTACATAGTACAGTTTTGGACCTTATTAAAAAAAGAAGTACATGATATACAGCAACCCGTAGGGTATGCAAATATTGAAATTAAATCAATATACAATTTTGTCATTACATTTATAAATGGCGCTATCCCACAAATACATGCATTTTAATATTTATATTAATTAATTAATGTCAGCTTATTAATAACATCCATTTTGCATGATTAAGTAAAAACATTTATCAGCCATTTCATTTAATTTGTCTTTGAACATTTTAAACAGATTTGTAACTGTAGAGGTAATTTATTATAGATATTTATGCAGCAGGTAGGGGGCCGTTCAAGTATTACGTAAGCACGGGGGGGGGGGGGAGGTGTTTGCTTTGCTTATTTTGGATGGCATGGGGTGTAGGGGAGTACAGACGATGATTACGTCATCGGTAGGTATTTACTTTTTTAAATAAACGTAATAATACTGCTTACGTAATACTTGAACGTTACTATAACGCAAAAGGTGTCTTTGGAAAATATGTGTTATAAAAAGTTACTTTTAAAGTTTACTACTCTAAAAGAAAGTGAAGTGACATGAAATATGCGCGCGAAGGAACGTACACAAAAAATAGTTAAATGCAATCACTCAGGATTGCGCGCGATGTCCTTATCGCGCTAAATCGCGCGTGAATGAATGTCGTGTAAAGGTACCCAAAGGGTTGATTATGTAACGTTGCGTTCGTTTACTATATTAAACAGATTGAGGTACACTTTGTACAAAGTCGTTTACGTGGGTACATCTGTCGCGCTTTTTTCAGCAGTCAAGCAGCTTTGAGGTACACTTTGAACAAAGTGATCTTGCTGGCTCTGCTTGGGGACATTTCTGTTCTCGGCAGTCAATCAGATTTTTTTGTAACCTGTGTTTAGGTTGGAACCCCTTCTATCCCCATAGAGCAGTGATTTTTTAATAACCCTGGACAATGAACAGCGCCATCTAGTCCCACGTTAAGCAGAGTTTGTGTTATGGGTACTAGAAAACTTATATAAATAGATACATTGTATGTATTTACAAAAATTAATATCTATGTATTTATATCAACTGTCTAGTACCCATAACGCAAGTTCTACTTACCGTGCGACTAGATGGCGCTGGGTCCAGGGTTATTAAATAAAAAATAGCTTTTTAAATACATACATAATATACGTAGTAAACACCCAGACCGATACAAACAATCATATTCATGTATTCAAATGATTGCACCGTGCGAGGAATCGAATCCGCGACAATCGGAAGTAAAGCGGTGAGCTAAACCGCTAAATAACCGAAACCGAGAATTATTGCAACTGTTTCATAACAGTTGCAATAATTTTATAATATAATCGCTATATGTGTTCAATCTGTTTGAAATAAGGAACGATTGCAATTGCGTAACATAATGCCCCAAATTTTCCAGTCCCACCTACCATTCTTATTATGTTTAATTATATATGTATAAATATATAAAATATGGGGAAACTTACGATATAAAAATCATTAAAAAGGATTACTTTGACCATACGTTAATTGATATAATATTTAGTTTTTATTATTAAAATGTTAATTACGGGATACATTATGTTATTATTTGTTAATTTTGAAAACTCGTTTTTTAATATTAACCTTTTGAAAATAAATACCTCGGAATATCCTACAGCGCCATCTAGTCCCAAAACTTATATTATGGGACAACAAATAAAAGTACTTAAATACAATACATACATACCATACAACACATCCAGACAAATACAAACCGATATATGTACACATAAATATATAAATACAAATGTAAAACTTGTTATTATTGAACTTTGGGTTTTTAATACACATTTTTAATATTATTAATCGGATCTTAACATGAATAATTTTACTGATATACACATAAATCTAAATGTAAAACTGGTTATTATTGAACTTTCGTTTTTAATACGCATTTTTAATATTATTAACCGGATCTTAACACGAATATTTTATGGAACACTAGCTGCTCGTCCCGGCTTCTCTCGGGTGTACGATTAATATCATCTTTATAAAAACACCTTAGCAAATAATACCTTATTTTAGAAGATATTTGTTTACCATACAAGATTATAATCTCTTAACCTTCAAAGATAGAGATGTGTAGTCGCGGACTTTTTTTTTGATTGAGAGCAATTTCGTCATACATATTTTTTTGCCATATTTTCGTTTCTGCTCCGCTTCTATTGGTCGTATCGTGATATTTTAAAACCTATAGGTCTTGGGGATGATGTACCTTTCTAAGAGAGAAAGATTTTTTAAATCAGATCAGCAGAACCGGAGATTACCCCGAACAAACAATCATACAAACTTTACCTCTTGATAATATTAGTATAAATAAATGTATTTACCTATCTCAACGTTTCGACTATGTTGCACTAGGCGTGGTCACGAGCTGACTGGAGTAACATCAAGAGAGATACCGTTATCTTAATACTATAAACGCGAAAGTAAATATAGATGTTTGTTACTTTTTCACGCAAATTACTGAACGGATTTTGATGAAACTTTACAGCAGTGATTCCCAAAGTGGTCTATATCGACCCCCAGGGGTCTATGACAAACTGCAAGGGGTCTACGACAGCGGTCATCTTGTTTTTACTTTATGTTTTTAACACTAAACTTTACTACAATTAGAAATTTACAGATATCACCAGGTAAGAATGGGGGTCTACTCAAAACCGAAAAATATGGGAAGGGGTCTATCTCACAAAAAAGTTTGGGAACCTCTGCTTTACGTTATAATTTTTTACAGAAATGTATATAAACCGCGGACACAACTAGTTTACCACAAAATTATTCGTGTTAAGACCCGGTTAACAACAGAAATAAAATATAAAACTAAATAATGTGTTTAAGACTTTATTGTTAAAACTTTAAAGTCGAATATCCAATGTTTTTTTTATAAGAGAATACAGTTTATTATAGAATAATCAGAATAGAGAGAGAGAGGCTGGACTGTAGCCGTATAAACAACTTAATAGAAAATAATTAATTTGTATATTTAAGGAAGGTTTTGTCTATAAATATCATAACTTGTTACTTATAGTACCTACGTTAGAGTTTAAGATGCGAAAGATCGTTGAATTGTCATGAATTGAACAATAATACTTATATATAGTGATTTTTAAAATAAGAAAACATTTATTGCCTTGACAAATACGAGTTTTAAACTTCTCTCCATTCTTTCTGAATGAATTTTATCAATTATTATTGCTTCATTATTAATAAATTGTCTTTTTTTTTTATAATAATCAAAACCTATTACCGTTTTAAAAAATATGAAAGAAAAAAGAAATTTATTGTTAACTAATAACATGAATTTATAAAATTACAATAAAATAAAATAATGGTCGCTACAAGCAGTTGGTCACTTAAACCGGAGTCGCAATAAACGGTTGTATGTAAGTTATTCCTGACTATGAAACCTAACTTGAGTAAACATTACATTTAACGTCGTTAAAAATGGTATATGAATTTATAAAATATAATAATGGTCGCTATAAGCAGTTGGTCGCTTAAACCGGAGTCGCAATAAACGGTTGTATTTAAGTGCATCAGCATATACTAACAGCTTACTCTCACCGCACTGTTCTGTGTAGACCATAAATGGCCAATAATCGGCCGAAGACCACTTGTTAAAAAATTACAATAAAATATATACAGTTAACTTAGATGAAGGTAGTCTGGGGATATTTTTATCTAAAATTGTGTTAACAATTATATAAAAAAAAAAAATTGATGCATTCTTTTTGGTGACACTATATTACAGGTTGCCTCTAAAATGCTTTCTTCGAATAAATAACAGGTTGAGGTGGGGTAGGGAGGGGAAAGGGGGTGGGGCAGACTGTTTGGTGCATAGTTAGGTAGCAATGTTGTATTATATCGTTTGAAATTATACGCGGTTATTATTTACGTACAATTAAGAAAAAATTACGTTACAATAATAATAATCTAGCAATAGAATTGAAGAAACAATGGAAAGCACACACCATCTACATAGTACCCATAGTTTTGTCATCCACAGGAGTTATACCAAAAAGTCTGAACAAATACCTAGACACGTTGCATATCCCCTCCTCTACAATAGACCTATTACAAAAAGCCGTCATACTAAACACATGCCGAATAGTCAGAAAATTTCTATCTTCATCACATAACTCATCCACGCTTGGCTAAGGCCCGCGTGTTTGAATATATTACCCCCGTAAAAAGGGAGATATAATAAATATATATATATATATATATATATATATATATATGTAATAATAATAATAGTAATTTTATTAATTTACTAAAACTGTAATAATTATGAAATAATTTAATTTATTTGCGAAATATTGGTACAGTATATATGATGTTACATGAAATTGATTGTTCAGCAATATTAACCATGTAGGCATGCAAATTATATGAAAGTGTTCGTGTTATTTAAATATTCTTGGACACTAAAAATTACCAAGTGACAGCCAAGCAGTTGTATGTTTATATTATTTTATTTATTTATTTAATTCAGGCTACATGGCCCATATTATAAATACCTTATAGACTAACATACATAAGAAATAATAATCAAATATGTAAAATAAAATTGTCTCTATGGTCACGGCACTGACGACGGCAATCTGCCACGGTAGCGCCGATAGACCACCCCCTTCATGAAGGTGGGCACGAACGCTTTGAAGCTCGCGTTGTGGCTCGATTCCAACTGCGTCACCCTCAATGTCCGGTTGCTTTTAGTCCGGATGTAGTCAACAATGTCCTGTTCCTTGGTAGCGTAGTGTAGGCGGGATAGGTACATTGCCGTGGTCGGTGTTGCGGCACGTAACAAGAAGTTGGGCCCTGTCAGTGCTGTGCCACAATGGTTTAGATTGACAATATATTAGCATAGGTAGCATAGGCTGGGCCTGTCCTGTAGGAACCAGAAAACGAATTTTACAATATATTTATGTCTTGAAACTAATAAACCAAAATATGTAATACTAACCCCATACCAATACCAACAAAAGTAATAGAATAGTGAGTGGGGAGGCATGTGTAGGTTGTCTGTGTGTGTGGGTGGTATATGAATATGATTGGTCATTTTAGACATCTCCTATTTTAAACCTCTCTAACTTAATGCATCTGAACACATTTAGTTCAGGCATCCATAGTCTACGATAACCTTATACCATCACATGGGCCGTAAGCTTGTATGCAACCATTTTGTTATAAAAAAAAACTAAATATTGAAATATATTTGTATGTTTACACGTTTACACTATCGCATAGAG